TATCGAACGCTTCCATGGCTTCCATAAAACGACCCAAACGCCCTACCCGCTTGTTCCCCTTTCGAAAATTCGAATACAGAATCCGGATGTTGGAACTGATGTTGTTGTATTTTAGGGTTTAGGGGCACCAACTTTTGGCTCATATTGCATTGAAAGGTGCGTTTTCTTGGGTGGGTATGATATAAATAAAATACAACACGGTGTATTCCGCATTGCCCTCGGTCCCGGCCCTCCCGCGAGTCGGATCCGACCCACGGTCGGGCCGATACCTCGGGCGATACGGAATACCCCGTGTTGTATTTTATATGTATTTTTTATTGCTCTGGTTCTATGTTTACAAATCATTCCTGTTTACTACTTTTTTTCCTCCATTCTTGTATTGAAATTTACCCACTAGTTTGTTTTTAGGACTGTGTGTTGAAATTTTGTTTAGCATCTCTGTCTGCGCAGCATTTCATCTGAAAAAGGTACTAAAAATGGGAGTATTTTAATATGAAACAAGTAAAATCTGAGATTTTATACCTCCGGGCTTTTTATTGTATATTTTTATATAGGATTTTAAACAAAGAATTTGTCGAGACCGGACACCCCTCTGTGTGAGGGGTCATATACGTGGACCAGACCGAGAATAGCTTAAACACGCCAAAGGTCAACGGTCGCGACCACTTTCACGCTCAAAGGGGTGTTTTCGGGCCACCAAAAGGCACCATTTTCACGCCTGAAAACACATATACAATAAAAACAAAAGAACGTGCATCATCTGCAGCCCAATAGCAAAACATATACCGAATCTCAAAAGAATCCGTCCACCCAAACGCGAGAAACAGCTGCGAACATGAAAATCTAAATCCCTCACAAAACCCATCCACGGAAGGATGTCTCCTCCCCCGGAGGTAATGATTAGTTTTGTAGAGTGATGAAAATGAAAAAGTGTTGGTCCCAATTTTTGATAACCATACTAACACGAGATCTCGTCTTTGTGATACAAGTTTTCTGTTCAACACAAAATGATGTTAGAGAGCAAACTTCTAGATACCTTTTCTTTGACCCTCTTACTAGTGTCATGTCCATATAAGGTCATACCCATGTAAGTCATGTGACAGATGTCCATATAAGGTCATGTGACAGATGTCCATATAAGGTCATGTGACAGATGTCCATATAAGGTCATGTGACAAGTAGTGGGTCAGAAATCTTGAAGAAGGCAATAGAGTGAGCATGAAAAAAATTGGCAAGTCGACATTATTTTGTGTTGGACGGAACTTTAAAACTGTTACTATGAACAATCAAGATGTTTGTTTTGTTTGTTTGTTTGTTTACAGCTTGTGGAAGTAAACAAGCAGGCTCGGATCAAACTGAGTCAGGACATGGACAAGGTCACCCTGCCTGGCAAGAAGAGCATCTACAGACTCTACTCACATGAGGGTAACATCTTCATCCATTCATAGATTTCATTGTTCACCAAAGGAAAACATATTGTTTTTGCTCTGTTTCTTCTTCTTCCATTCCAAACACTGACCTCTGACCTGGTCAATGACCTGAACCAGACTGTCTCTCACCATGGTAACTGGTGTTGGGTTGCATCATGTTGCAATTGTATAGTAGGAGGGATTTAGACTCCGGTCACCATATATGTGAATGTGCTTGAGTAAGAATTAACAGGGCAGACCATTAACATTATGCATTGGCTTTACAAATGTTAACTTTCTAGTTTTTATTTCATTTGTTTGTCTGTAATGTACAAATTTCTTCCATGCAGTTGATACTTTAGCTGCTGGGCGCCACATTAACTTCAGAAGTTGAAGTTCACAAATTTTCTTTACTTTTGACGAGAGGTTTAACCATACTTAATAAAACACTGTTGGTTATCAGCCAATCTGAAACATTTCCAAATATGGCATGTGCTTTCTTATGTCCATATATGGTGTTTGTCTTCCCATCAGGCCATGCTCTGATTGACCTGATGCAGCGACCCCACGAGCAGCCCCCAGGCAAGGAGAGGAGGGTTCTCTGTAGACACCCTTTTGAGGTACAGCCTCATTAGCATAAAGATGTCAATAGACCAATCCTGACTGTCCATCACAATTAACATTTCAACCAACGAGAGCATGGCAATTATCAGTTCGACCAATGAGAGAGTGGCTACATGTCTGTCAAGGAGGGTTCTCTGTAGACACCCTTTTGAGGTACAGCCTCATTAGCATAAAGATGTCAATAGACCAATCATGACTGTCCATCACAATTAACATTTCAACCAATGACAGCATGGCAATTATCAGTTCGACCAATGAGAGAGTGGCTATATGTCTGTCAAGTATTTGCATTTTTATGTTAATGCATGTTGGAAGTTTGACGGAGGTGGGTGGGTGGGCTATGGGATTTGTCTTTTCAAACCTGCAGTGGGAAGGGGGGCAGTATCTTCTAATACTAACTTTTGATAACATACTAGTATGCTACAACATATACCCTGCTAACTGGGTTTATCAAATAATTTTTTATGGATTTCAGGAGTCGAAGCGAGCGTATGTTTCACCCGGGTCAGTCCAACTCCTGCAGAAGTTATACTGGACTAAGGGAGAGGTCAGTGTTTCATACATTTTTTTTTCAGGATGAAAACTTGAGAAAAATTTTGCCTATGAAGAGTATTCTTGGTGTGTCAGCAAATATTTCAGATGGAAATCATAAGTTGTGAAAATACCATTGTGTATTACCCATAAAAATGATCAATGAGAAATGTTGTCACTTTTTTGCACACAGAAATACTTTAGGCTACACTTTTGGAAAACATTGAAGAGAAGGTCTTGCATTTGCTTGCAAATGCATTAGTATCACTCAATGCAATTTGCTATTTTCAAAACCTGCACAGAGCTAGAACAGGCACTTTTTTGTTTGTTTAGATTCAGGAATACTTGCCATCATTGAAGGAGATCAGAGACAGAGCTATCCAGTCCCTGGGGACACTCAGAGAGGATCACAAGAGAGCACTCAACCCCACTCCATATAAGGTAATGTGTCCATATAAGGTAATTAGTCCATATAAGGAAATAAGTCCATATAAGGTAGTGAGCCCATGTAAGGTATAGAACATGTAATGTCTCCATATTTGGTACTTACCTCCATATAAGGTAATAGCTGCATGTAAGGTTTTATTTCTATTATTATGAGATAAATTTAATAGTTAACATACATGCAATTCTGTCTCATAAAGATATCCCACATTTTTTTTCATATAGATGTTCTCAAAAACATTAATTATATTTCTACAGTAATTTAATTGTTACAATTGTTGAACCAATGAAAATTGGTCTTACATTTTGCTGCTTGCAGGTGGCAGTGAGTGCAGATCTTTACCAGTTCTTACATGACATGTGGTTGGACAATGCTCCTATTGGTGAGCTGTCCTAACCAATCACAGAGCAGTTCAGCCCTGGTGAAGCAACCCATTGGTGAGCTGTCCTAACCAATCACAGAGCATTTCAGCCCTGGTGAAGCCAGCCAATCCAGTGGAAACACAGAAAAACTGACAACAATACCATTAAAAGTTGTCATTAGAAATATATAATTATCTGTAAAACAAAAGCAATATATTTTAGAACAAGGTGAAAAAAGTATGTAATTTTAAGCTTGTGCTTGGGGTTTCCATGGTGTTACATTTATGTTAACAATTGCAATAATTAGTATGCATACCTTGTTTAAGAGATTTTCAGGCTAAAACCCCCCATTTATCAAAGTGCAATGGTCCCATATCAACTACTGCCTACAGAGATTGTACATGAGTTTGGACTAGTCCATATCAGAAAAGGGGTGAACTAAGGGTATAGCTTACGATTTGAATAATGTAGATGCAAAAGCTGTGCTTTTTGCCTAATCTCAACTTAATATGCAACTGGTATTTGCTTAATTGCATGTGCACATTTTAGTGAATTACTTCTCTTTATGGTACCTATAGATACTGAGTAACCAAAAAAGTGGAAATCATGACTAGTAATTGTATGTAAGACTATTGTGTATGGAATAGTCATTTAAAAAGGGCATTATGTAAACTTTTGCACCAAAATAGAACAGGGTATGTGGTAGCACACTGGGTATTGTGATTCTGGTTTAGGCCATGTTGATTTGATTCTATGGATGACATCCTCTGGGAACCCCAAAACTCAAGCGCGCGTGCGAATAAAAAAAAAGTTTTGCAAAAAAAAATGTTGCTTTCATTATGAAATCTACGTGGTCATGAAGGTTGAACAAATGGCACAGAATATGTTATGGCGAATAATCTACTCTTCGAATTCATTTCTTTACATTTTTGTCTTTTTTCCTTTGATTTTGGCATTCTACGACATTGGTATCGTTTCTAAATGTTTTCCTTGCAACTTATGGTATATTTTTGCTCATTTAGCAACTGTTTTGCACGATTTACAGTATGGGTGAAAACTTTTTTTTTTGGAAACGGCCGAAAATTCATGCACGCGCGGATGTCATCCATATAATCAAATCAACATGGCCTTACTGAAAAAATGGAACTGAATGTGAAACATTGTATACAGAGCTGGTGTATTATGTCAAAGGGAGGTTATACCAGCTATACAGATACAGTTACAGATCCAATAAAAAAAATGGTGATTTACTGTGTATTTTATTTTACATAATTCACACACATGTATTGACATGCACTGGGAATCTGCTTGGAAATTATGATTCTGTAATATTACACAAAAGAATATCAAATTAACATGAAAGTTCATCTGTGTCGGTAGTAGTCATAGTAAAATGTTGAACTTTATTCCAACACAGGGATTACACACAGAGATCAAATTTTCAATGACCACTGTCGCCTTCATCAGGATAATTAATGACCAATCGCTTCCGAACGAAAACTTGCGAGAGTTAGTTACAGAACATATGAAATAGAATATCAAATTTAATAATCACTAAGATGACATCTAAATATCATTATCTTGATTCATTTAAGTTCACACGAACTGCAATTTGTGTATGCACCTATAAACATAAAGGCAAGAAATCTTCCTTCAATTTCATCTTGTTTCCTGTCAGTCTGTGGTTATACCATTTCCCCCTCCACGTCCTGTCACTCCAATTCAACCTTCCTATCAGTCTGTGGTTATACCATTTCCCCCTCACTTCCTGTCACTTTACTAACTTCATCCCAGCCTGTGGGGAGAACCTCCAATTCAACCTTCCTGTTACTCTGTGGTTATACCATTCCCCCTTCACTTCCTATCACTTAACTAACTTCATCCCAGCCTGTGGGGAGAACTCCCATTCAACCTTCCTGTTAGTCTGAGGTTATACCATTCCCCCTTCACTTTCTGTCACTTAACTAACTTCATCCCAGCCTGTGGGGAGAACCTCCAATTCAACCTTCCTGTTAGTCTGAGGTTATACCATTCCCCCTTCACTTCCTGTCACTTAACTAACTTCATCCCAGCCTGTGGGGAGAACCTCCAATTCAACCTTCCTGTCAGTCTGTGGTTATACCATTTCCCCCTTCACTTCCTGACACTCTTTTGTATTCAAATAGCTTCGGATACACAATAAAATACACATACAGAGCCACCGAAAACAAAATGCATGAAGGTAAAAAGAGGAAAATCGCTGCAAGAGACGACAATTCTTATAGTTGACCTCCCACACAAATAGGCAATGCCCCAGAGGCGCCGCCAAAAAGCAGGCGAACCAGTTCTACCTCGCCTGAATGAACTGTAGGCTTGAGGGTCACACAAGCATGTAATACTGTGCTTTACACACAATGTGGAAGGTCGACGTCACTCTGCCTTAGTACAAAATGCCGGCTAACACTACACAATACAGTTATTATTACAGTTGCGTTTCGTACACGTCACACTTCTGCGAAGTCGACAGTAACAGAGTGACCATGCAGAACGTTAGAAGAACAGAAAAGGGTGGAGAAAACTGGTTGTAAAATCTTCGGTGGTGCACCGAGGGTCAAATAACAAGCCTCGGGCATATATGGGATGTTACTGCAATGTTACAGGTAAGTTTTACTGTAAAGAAAAAGGCTACAAAAATGGTCAGAAACACATTGTGGTCTTTCTTAAGGTCTTTCTGTGGTCTTTGTGGCCTGTATAGCCTCCGTAGCAGGCTTATAGAACTGGGGGTTTGGTGGTCTTCGGCTGTTTTCTGATTAGCCCAGTTCAAAAAACCGGGGGTAATTCAACCAGGCCGGCTATGTTGTCTATATGCAATCAGAAAATAGCACATAAAAGATCCTGAAGACCCCCCAAAACACCCAGTTTTTGGCATGCTATGGAGGCTAATTATAATTGTGGTCTTTGTGAAGGTCAGATGTGGCCTGTAGCACATTTTCGTCGTTAATAAGTCTACATGACTTACTATCTTACGTAACTGATTAAGTACTTAGGTGTTACAGATCCATTGTTTAATATGGGAGGGTAAATTTATAGCAGAAACGACCGTCAGTAAGGGTCCACAACAATCTTCTTTCCCCACAAGACAACTGAATCTCTCAATTCTGTGTCCCAAGATATCGTATTCGTAAAGTGTAATCGAGAGGTTTCCGAATTCAGCAGTAGAGCGTTGTCGGGACCCCCCCTTGCAGGCCCTCCCAAGACGATCCACAACTTCCTGTTGAATGTCTGCTGTGTGACGGGAGACAACAAAAATGATGCCACGACACTACACTAGTCTATGGAAAGGTAGGAATATATATCTATAGTTTATGGTACTAAAACATTTAAATGTTTCTTGTCAAGAATCATATATATAGCTCTTTGCTTAGTGTTTTGGTGTAACAGTACTAGTACGTAATATTCTACAACAGTAAATGTCTGGTAAACTCTAAAAGGGTAGACGTGTCGTTGTGGGCAATTAAGCATCCAAGTGCGTAATTTCCATGTTGCAACAATTGAAATGTCGTAACGTTTTCTTATGGCTGTGAAAGAAGCTCACCTGCCAAGAGAACGTCGTGATTTCCCACTCTTAAATATGAGAATTATTGTAAATTATTGTAATATTGAAATTCATCGAGCCAACGTTTTAATCTGTCGTTGTAGACATGACTCTAACTTATTAATGACCCTAATATGAATAATTTATGTTAATGTAAACAAGCATGAAAATTCAGCCTTGTACATACGTCACGGCTGCCAGTCATGCTGTTGTTGATACAAATAAACCCAATAAATAATAAACAATGAGATCAACTTAACGTGTTGACGGTGATTTCTTCTTTTCAGAAATAACTTTCCAACTGAGGAAAAACGCGAGAATAATTTTTGCAGCCACGCTTTTGTCTCTGATCATTGCGTCTTTGTTTGGGACATTTTCTGGCTATCAAATGAATACAGTGAATAGGTAAGATATTTTTCCGTCTATACATGCATGGTAACATAAATGTTATTTTTTCTGATTTTTTTTTCAACAATGCCAAATTGATACCAAAAAGATTGGGTGAGACAAATTCGTCAATAAACTGTGACCCTCTACGACCTTTTCAGAGACAAATATCCTTTGGCCTCAGCTCCAAGACTAGAAACAGTGAAGCCATGGACAAGGAACCAGGAAGAGTTTTTAAAGCTCAAGTAAGTATCGCTGATTGTACACATAACTGTCAAGACAAATTTATCTTCAGATTTTGGAGTGTGATTTTGTAAAGAAGTCGTTATTATTCCTAGATTTTCCTGTTTTGAGTAGGATTTTCCTCTTTTTACCTTTCATGTGTGAAGGTTTTGTTTTCAGTGGCTCTTTGTGTGCTTTTTCTTCTGTATCCGAAGCTATTTTAATATAGTAGACTGAGTAGAGTGTAAGGAAGTGAGGGGGAAATGGTATAACCGCAGACTAACAGAAAGGCTGAATTGGAGGTTCTCCCCACAGGCTGGGATGAAGTTAGTAAAGTGACAGGAAGTGAAGGGGAAATGGTATAACCACAGACTGACAGGAAGGTTGAATTGAAGGTTCTCCCCACAGGCTGGGATGCAGTTAGTACAGTGACAGGAAGTGAGGGGGAAATGGTATAACCACAGACTGACAGGAAGCCTGAATTGAAGGTTCTCCCCACAGGCTGGGATGAAGTTAGTAAAGTGACAGGAAGTGAAGGGGAAATGGTATAACCACAGACTAACAGGAAAAAAGTTCAAATTGGAGTAAAATGTCGTTGAATGTTTGTCTTACTGTGCAGGAATGTCTTGAGATCTATCCTGAGTCCAGGTATATCCGCTGTGAGAATCAACTCTGACGTCAACCTCATACGGCGTTGCCTTGACTACCGTGAGTGCAAGGGGGTTTCCGCATTACGTCACTACGGCACATGCGCACTAGTGGGTAGCAGTGGGATCCTCCTAAACAGCAGCTGCGGTGACGACATTGATGCGAGTGACTTTGTCATCAGGTAGGCATCATTGTTTCCAGCCAGTATATATTTCTTGTGTGTATAAATTGTTGTTGGTAAATTCTACGTTTTGTGCAGTGATCCTTTATCCTCAGTTCCCAGGCTACAACCAGTCTAACAATGGGCAAAGCAACGGGCAGAGATCGTAATTATTCCTAGATCTCTCTAGTTCTTTAATTTCTAGTTTAAAACTTTGTTATTGATTGTAGTTTATATAATAATGAAAGAAATTATCTTTTTAGATATATTACAAGTACGTTTCCATACTTCCAATTCTTGTCTAATATTGAAAAATTTATCTTTCTTATGCGCTTTAATCATCCTGTACTATAGAAACCAATTTCAAATTATATTTTTAACATCACAAAGAAACGAGAAGAAGCCGAACCTCTGTATTAGAGTAGTTTTAGAGCTGTTTGTACTACAAACATGTATATTACCTATTTCATCTGTTGACCTGTACTTAGCTCGATAAAGGTTATTATTATTATTATTTAAGCAACGATTTTTAAACTCCATGTAATTTTTTTTGTACTTTATGATTGGTAAATCTCACTTTTTGTGGGGTGTGAAATCTCACTTTTGTGGGGTGTGCCCTACACATGTCTCAACTCATCATAACTCCAGGTGCTATTTTACCTAGCATATGATTTGTTCTAAGCCAGTCCGACTAGAGGTACCTTATGCTTCATTTTTTAAGATTTAACCTAAGCCCTCAAGAAGGCTACACCAAGGACGTGGGGAAGAAGTCGTCCATGATGGTTCTGAACACTTTGATGTCTCACAAGGCGTACGATCTGTTCAACACCACGGGCGGGAACAGAGAGGCAAGACTGAGGGACATGTTTAGAACTGCCGACAACGCAATATTGTTCTTTCCGGTAAGTGTGCCGCACCCTGAAAAAATTGAATTATCCGCCTAAACCCATTATTATAACAATAGTTTTTTTTTGGGGGGGGGGGGTGTTTAGTCTTACTGTATTGGCTCAATCAATGATGGTTCTAAAATAACAAATTTCCTTAATGTACTCATTTGCAGCTGTTGCCATCAAGATTCGTCATCAGTTCAAATCATTTGCAATCATCTAGTTATCGATCCGAGATTTCAAAAGTCTGGGAAATAGTTATTGTCTTTGAATTTTGGGTGAATTTATTGGCCCAAATAAAGAAATGATCTGACGTACTTTCAACGGATCCGGACCTATAGATAGCTAGAACCTTGTTGTGACAAGCCCTAAGTGGGTTTACTGAAAGTAACAGTAGGTGGCCTCACTTATACTTCCTCTCAGCTTGCAGTGAGACTATTCCGACTACCAACTTGACCTCAAAGTCAATCTACAGTTACAAAATCCCCCACCTGCCGGCCCAATACCTACGAACACACGTCAAGCGATTACGAAGCGATTCTGTAATCTATTCTTCGTGTGTTTAGAAGTCGAACAGATTCTGGTGGATGTACAGAGGCTTGGAGCAGATCCTGAGAAGACAGGGACTGAATGTTGTCGTCGTCATGGGGGTCACGACCTTCGAACATGGGCATGACGAAATCCGGCGCAAGTAAGTGTGAATTTGTTTTAGCTTCCTCTACTCCTGCACGTAAAGTCAACTCTAACCGATGCCACTCAAAATTACATATCCACATCTGTTTTTGGCGACGTCTCAGGGAGGAGCCTAATGGTACAGTATTGTGTGCAGTTTGCAAGAATTCTAGGAATGGTACAGGCATTTTGTCCATAGGCATGGAATGACCACAGGCATGTCTCTGACCCACATCTATGCCAACATTCCTGGAAACCCTTGGGAAGACTTGTCTTTCCCGGATGGCCCTACTTTCTGTGACCCCGGGGCTCGTTCACTCAGGGGAGGAGTGCACTGTATCTGTCTAGACTTAACCAAGTCTTCCTCAAAATCATAAAATGATGGCAGTACCATGCAAACAATAACCCTAACAGCAATCACCGTCGCCATGGCGATGTATGTTTTCATTGCCAGTCTTGTTATGTTTACCTTCGCAGAATGAAAACATTTTTCCTCTTCTTCAAAACATTGTGCATTTGTTTTACAAATGTTATCTTTCTAGTTCACTATTTTATTTTGTATGTAAAGGACAATCCCTACTTCAGTATTTTCTACTTCTGTAGGATCTGGGAGGTTCTAGACAAGCAGAACACCCGTGAGATGCCTTCCACAGGTCTACTTCTGGTGGAAATCGCAATCACCTTCTGTGACCGCATCCAAGTGTACGGCTTCTACCCGTTTGCCCGCGATCAGCAAGACCACGCAATCCCTTTCTACTATTGGGACACCCCTGACAGTGATTTAGGAGCAGGACACATCCACAACTTTGCCGCAGAGTTTGAACTTCTTCGAAAACTCCACAGCAATGGAGTCATCGAACACAAAATAGGTCATTGTAAATAACTTTAAGTAGCCATCTGTAATAGTAGTGTCTTTGGTAGATGTTTCAATTTGCAACTTTAGTCACGTTTTTATGTTTACCGAAGGAAAACATATTGTTTTTACTCAGTTTCTTTCTCCTCTTCTGTTCCAAACACTAACCTCTGACCTGGCCAATGACATGATTTGTTGACGTCTGTTACCATGGTAACTGGTTGTTGGGTTACATAATGTTGCAATTTCATGTCTGCTCTACTCCTGTCACCATATACTTGTAGTACATGTATGTGAATGTGTTTGAGTAAAAATTAACAGGGCAGACCATGTCTGAAGGTAAACATTATACATTTGCTTTGCAAATGTTACTTCTCTAGTTTTCTCTTGCTTTGGGTCAAAACTAGATCTTGAGCAAATATTTCATAGGAAACCACTCACAGATACAAAGAATGTAGACTGTTTTGTACATCATGGATAGTGCAATTGTTTTGTGATAGAAAAAAGGCTGGTAAGTGAGTCTGATGAAAAGTAAGCACCATAATTTATTTATGTGAATTTGGCGTTCTGTGTGTTATAGATGATGATGATGATGATAGATACTATCAAATGACGTTATATGTATTTCATGACACGTATATATGTTATGATGTACATAATTTTGTGCAATTGGTTGGCTGTTGCTATCTTAGTGCAATATCGTAAATGTAAGTAAAGCTTTCGGACTGAAGCCTGCTCAATTGCAACTTCTTGAGCCTGTATGATTTTGTCTCTTTTCTTGGAACAAGTTTCTATAATAAATACTAGTAGTAGTAAATAACCACAGTTACTGTCTGTGACATATACTAGTATTCCTAGCCTGATTACAGATAGGATGATATGACTGGTCGTACTAGTACTCGTCTTTGACTCAAGAATGACAACAACATCAATTTCCGTGGGTCTTGCATATCAGCATTGGACGTTAAACAAAAGATTAAAAAAAATTCAGTTTCAGTTCCTCTTTTTGTTGTCATGCATACACGTGTCTGTGCTATCCATGTGTGACAGCAAAATGGAGAATAGAAACTTCAACGTAAGCGTTTAAGTTCCTCTTTTTGCTGTCATATTCGTGTCTCTGCTAATCGTGTGTAACAGTATATACTGTCACACACGATTAGCAGAGACTAAAAACAGGAACAGAAACTTTAATAAACGTCCAAGTTCCTCTTTTTGCTGTCATATTCGTATCTCTGCTAGTCGTGTGTGACAGTATATACTGTCACACACGATTAGCAGAGACTAAAAAGAAGAACAGAAACTTGAATAAATCCAAGTTCCTCTTTTTGCTGTCACAATGTCCCAAATGAAAATTTGCAGAATCACGGATCCACTACGTACAGACATGCCATACAGTTTAAGTTGAACTTTGTAGCATTTTTCAACCTTCTCAGGGACCTACTCCCAAACACCAGACGAAAACCTGAGTGTCAGCCTTGTTAGCTTTCGTCCGCTCCCCAAGGTCCGCTCCCCGCCAACAGGGGGAGCGGACGAAATCTAACAAGACTGACACTCAGGCTACAGCCAACCAGGCCGACTATCCCGATCACCCACGGATGTTTTAAACAAAGTTTGAAATATTTGGCTGGCACAGTCGAACCGTAGCCAACGCCAACCGACTCAACCATGGTTGCCGGGCGTTCGGCTAGCGTTCGGGAGGCTAAATTCGTGAATGTGAGACAGGGGCTTGATCGATGAGAAAAAACTCCCAACCACAATACAAAATTTCTAAATATTTCATGGAGGTATGAGATCTCGAGAGGAAGGTATTTGTTTTTCTGTCCATTTCTTTGCTTCATGGCAACATACGAGCGATCGCTGTTTTTGTTTACATTATATACACGTGCAAATTATTTGAAGACATATGCAAACAAGAGTTCCGAGATCTCATACCTCCATGAAATAAGGGCTTGATATGTAAATGTAAATTTATTCTTTAACTATAATGTGCGGAAACACAAACACACACACAGACACACACACACACACACACACACACAGACACACAGACAGACACGCCAAAACAATACCTCCATTTTTCATGGAGGTAACTGTGGACAAATCAACCAACCGTCACCCGCTTTTTTCCTACCATGACGTCATGGCGATGGCCCGTAACACTTTCACTTTCACTTTATTTGTTCATACATTATCATTTAAGTTTCAGTTCCTCTTTTTGCTGTCACCATTGCTCCATATTTCAGTGTTGTGACAATAACACTGAACACTATAAAAAGGGGAGCACTCTGTGCTGTCATTACATGAGGCAGAAGCAGTGAAAGGGTCGTGTTGTCTGGTACTGAGCGGCGACAAGAGAGCCACAGCCGGGGCAGACTCAGCTCTCACACCGATTCATAGTTGTGAAGAGGACAAGGTTCAGGTAAGAATGTTATCCTCCTTCGTAGACAGGGTTCGTAGACTTGTGGGGCGGCGGTGTTAATTTTTGTCGGGGAGCGAAGCGAGTTATGCCGCGGAGGGACTGTTTTGCCGCCGAGGGACTTTGCCGGGGAGAGACGGTCTCGCTGCCTAAACAACCGTCTCCCCTACCAAGTCCCTCGGCAGCAGAAGCGTCCCTCCGCGGCTTAACTCGCGTCGCTCCCCGAAAGAAAAATTAGCGCCGCCGCCGCCCCACAAGTCGACCACGTAGGAGGCTATAACAATGTGTGGTTCATAGGGGAAACCTCTCACAATACTCTTCTTTTCGTAGAAGCAAATTGCAAACGCTGTCTGCTAGTCTGGTGTCCGGTCTATCGAGGTTGGGGCGGGTTCTCTTCGGGGCTGCAGGAGTTCTTCCCCGCCCGACTCAGCTAGGTTCCCCGGTAGGTTTAATTTTTCACGATTGATAAGCCCCACCACAATCTTCCGTCGTTAAAAACCTACCGGTGGAACCTAGCTGAGTTGGGCGGGGAAGAGCTCCTGCAGCCCCGAAGCGAAAACCCGCCCCAATCTCGAAAGACCGGACACCAGGTTAAACACCAACCGACCCAGCTAACTTTGCTCCGACCTACGTACTCCTACCTATGGTGGCGGGGCGTTCAGCTAGTAACTACCCTGAATGCCAAACTCGTTTCGGGCCGCTAGCCATTTCCTTCGGCAGTCAAGAGTCCTTCGCCCGCCGGTCTAAATTACCGCTACGGGGAGACTAGCCCGGCTGGACCTTTAAGTTCTAGGGCCGGACAAATTCTCCTGATCTAAACTCCCCCATAGCGGTAATTTAGAGAGGCGGGCGAAGGACTCTTGGCTGCCGAAGGAAAATGGCTAACGGCCCGATACTCATTTGGCACCCAGGGTATCGAGGGGCCAAATACGTGAATGTCTGACAGGGACGTAAAATCCCCCATAGTTATGCTGTGCCTGCAGTACACCGGTCGCGCCGTCGCTTCCGACCGCATATGTCGGGAAACCTTGCAGTCAGATACGAGAACATTCTGGCGGATAGGAACCGCATGAACTGTACCAAGTAGTAAATGGACCGATAGATATTAGGTAGATATATTCTAATCTATGCTGATTTTAGATTGTAATTTTTATGTACTTATATTGTTTAGGTTTAAACACACATTTAAAAATGTGTGTCTTGTTTGTGTGCTTATAATGTTTTGTGTATGGGCCACAACACCAGCGCTAGCCCCCGCTGCCTGAGCCCACGAGTATTGTATTGTTAACAATTTCAATAAATCAAATCAAATCAAACTCAAATCAGTCTGATATGGTTTCGGAGTTTCTGACTGTTCAGCGAAAAATGACGAATCAATCACACTCACTGTGCTGGCGTTGAATAAGTAATATCATGAGTAATGCCATGTTTGCCGTCGGGCAGCTGCCGTCGGGGCTTTCCACGGTGGGGCTTTCTATGGCGGGGCTTTCCGCGGTGGGGCTTTCCAAGAACTACAATGATATGAGATAGCGTCATCCGGGCTTCCCCCTTCCCAGAGAACACCACGAACTCTTGTACATGCGTGCGTGACGCATTGGGTGTGACCTCCCTCTTTTTTGGTGACATTGCCTATGGCATTGTTTTTCAGCGGTCGTGTGCAATGGAGCAAATATTTCTCGGGAATATATGTCTGTCCGCTAACATTTTCAGTCAATTTTGCTCGTAAAAACGAACCGGCCATACCCTGGGTATACAGTACTACAGTACTACTGTGCTGTATGGAGATTTTCATGTATGCAAGAGAAAATACAACAACCTCTTGCTTTTTTATCCATGAATTTCCACTTTATGTTTGATACACGTTTTGCTGTTTTGTCACAAATTGCACAGGTGCATGGCTAGTTTCATACTGGTATCTTACAATCATTTAGAGACATAATGTTTGTCTTGTGTATGGGCTACAACACCAGCCCCCGCTGCCTGTGGCCCACGAGTATTGTATTTGTTTGCAATTTCAATAAATCAAATCAAATCAAATCAAATCAAAGCACTCCTTCTAATTCCGATCACAGGAAGAACAATGGATGGTCCGATAAAGCTGACATCAACACGGGTGGTGGGCAACCGGAGACAAATCTACATCTCCCCTGCAGCGGAGAAAATCATCTCCGACCTCCCGCCTCGCTCTGTGGACGTGGTGTCAGTGGTGGGACCCATGAGGAAGGGAAAGTCTCATCAGGCAAATCTCCTCTGCAAAAAGAAGTCCGGTTTTCCACTTGGAGACGAACTGACGTCGAAAACGAAGGACTTCTGGTTCTGGATCGGTCCCCATCCAGTCCAGTCTGACCGGTATCTCATGGTTGTCGACACTGAAGGTAACAGCCTTTTTTTTGTTAGGCCATGTTGATTTGATTATATGGATGACATCCTCCGGGAGCCCCAAAACTGATGCGCGCGTGCGAATAAAAAAAAGTTTTGCAAAAAAAAAAAGTTGCTTTCACTATGAAATCTACGTGGTCATGAAGGTTGAACAAATGGCACAGAATATGTTATGGCGAATAATCTACTCTTCGAATTCATTTCTTTACATTTTTGTCTTTTTTCCTTTGATTTGGGCATTCTACGACATTGGTATCGTTTCTAAATGTTTTCCTTGCAACTTATGGTATATTTTTGCTCATTTAGCAACTGTTTTGCACGATTTACAGTATGGTTGAAAACTTTTTTTTTTTGAAATGGCCGAAAATTCATGCGCGCGCGGATGTCATCCATATAATCAAATCAACATGGCCTTACTAGAACCACGGAAAATAGCAGTAACTTTTGTTGCTGCTTCATCATCTGCTTATGATGTTGCATGTATATACAGAAAATTCCAACCGTCCGTAAAATTTTAAGCATCTCTGTCAGTCGAACTTGTCCTAGCAGAAAATATGTCATGTCATATACCCTTGTAATCGAGTCATCAAATGAGATGTGCACTACTAAATCATACATACGATGTAGGAAACGATAGACAGAAAAACAATGCAAATTAGTTTTGCTGCTTTAAATGTGAGATGTGGGTAACTTTTAGTGCTGTTTGTCACCTTGAAAAAAATATCATTGAATAAATGAACGGCAAAATGTGTTTAAAGTTAATAATTTAGATCCAACACAAAGACGTTCTCTCACCTAGAGCTTTCGACCAGTCACTCTGGTCTTCCTCAGTAGACTGACCCAGTGAAGCTTGTCACGTGGCTTCTTTGAAGTGAGACGTCAACACTGGGTCAAATGTTTAACTTTAAACATGTAACTACCAAAAAAGAACTGAGACGCTTTAAACGCAAAATTAAGAATAAGTATAGGATGTAGAATGATGTACTTCATGCTCTTTTAAGACCGACGAATGCCTACTACTACTACCAAAAAAGATTAACCTTTATGATGTATGGTATAAAATGTGTTTGCAGGCCTGGGGGACTACTCTGATGAGGAACAGAAAGACAAAGACATGAAGAATCTTGTTTTGGCCACCCTGCTGTCCAACCACTTGGTCTTCAACCTCCAGGGCAACGCAGACAGCGGCTTTTTGTCTAATCTGAGGTTCGTTCATGTCTGCAATGGCAACTGATTTCATTTTTTTAAATTCTTTTTTCTATTCCAATATCTATCACAAGACATCGCGACGGCACACTCACGTTTTTCAAACTTATTTTTATGCCGCCACCAACACAGATCTAGGCAAACGTACGAACAACAAACATGCTCATTTGCACCTGAGTTGAATGAGGAAATTTGTGTAAAGCGCCTTTCACAGGGGCACAAGATTGGAGGCATGGTAGGATTCAAACTCCAGACCTCTTGGTTCCGAACTGAGTGCTTCTGTCGTAACACCACACGACCACATCTGCTGAACAATTTCGATAACCAGTCATCTAGCAGCATACTAATGTTGATGGATTTGCATTTTGCCATTCTTTGGAAATCAATAATATGTTGACAAGGCACAAGTACAAGAAATCCTTGTGAGCATATGTGTATTTGTTTCATTAGATATACTGCCTGAATTGCTTTTATATTGGGATCCCATAAATTGTGCAGTGGGACAACGCTATAGCTAGATCAATATAAAAAAGATTGCAACAACTAACGTTAGGTCAATAAGTTCGTATTTAGATGCAGGGCTCGAAATTCATTTTTGGGAATAGGTGCACTGGTGCACCCAACCTGAAAAATTAGGTGCACAAAAATTTTTTGGGTACACCATATAAAACAAAACTTAATTACAGATCTTACTGCTCCTCTTCTGAGCTAGAATCTGAAATAGGAGCTAACTTTAAAATCTCAAACAAGTACTACAACAAAAATTTCATTATTTTTCTGACACTTAGATGCCAAGAATATCCTGCATACTATTATACATTGTACATTTGATAAGTACAAAAAATTCCTACAGAAACATTTGGGTGCACTGGTTCACCCACAGAAATAAATTGGGTGCACAGCTCCAATTGGGTGTGCACTAAGGTGCACATGCACCCAGTATTTCAAGCCCTGTAGATGTGTACAGGTGCGGTACAGTTTCTTCTTCGATTTCAGGCTGATGGGGGATCTGGCAGACTGTATCCGTGTTCAAAAAGACGGCAGCGACGAAGGAAACAACCTTGGCGAGCACTTCCCCGAACTGTGGGTCGCCATACAAGACGTGCACCTGAAATTACCACAGGTAAGTGTCGTGTGGTATATATAGATCTGCTAGAATGTCGAGTTTGCTCTTCAAGTTCATTGAAGTATATTCTGGAATATAGAAACTGATGGTCTAGTGTGTCAATTAACAAGACAGGCAATGAAAACATACATTGCCATGGCGACGGTGGTTGCTGTTAGGGTTATTGTTTGCATGGCACTGCCATCATTTCATGATTTTGAGAAAGACTTGGTACCTCTTAAGTCTAGACAGATACAGTGCACTCCTCCCCTGAGTGTATAGTGAACGAGCACCGGGGTCACAGAAAGTAGGGTCATCTGGGGCAGACAAGTCTTCCCAAGGATTTCCAGGAATGTGGGCATAGATGTGGGTCAGAGACATTCCATTCCTGTGGACAAAATGCCTGTACCATTCCTAGAATTTTTGCAAACTGCACACAATACTGTACCATTAGGCTCCTCCCTGAGACGTCGCCAAAAAGTGATATTCGTCCTCAATACATTGCAGACAAACGGAAGACGCCTGACCCCAGATGAGTACTTGGATGACATGTTGAAGCCGAAAGATGGCCACACAAAGGCGGTCCGCTCCCACAACGACATGACGGCCGCGGTGAAGGCTTTTTTCCCAAAGCGGCATCTCCGACTGATTCCTACACCTTCCGGAGAGCCGGATGTCTTGAGGTATGCACCTTTTTCCTTTTATAAATAAGATTGAACTGTGATTGCCAACACAACAAAACTGGACTCACCCAAATTTTCGACTGTACAACTCCAGTGTTTGTCAAGGAATGAACAATCCGCCGCTTCTGTGACATCACACAGATAACACACGTGACTCCGTGAGCAGTGGATCATAGGTTGCAGAAAGTCTGTGGCGCCCCCCGTCTCCGTTGAGGGATGGTTGTGATGCCCTCGTGCGACACTTTTTTCCTTTTATTTACTTCAATTTTCACCTCGAAACAAGGCTCATACGAACCACTTACATGTTTTGGGTTACAGTAAGGAACTGTAGAGACAGATGTTTGTTCACCCTAGACTTGAAAAGTTTAAGGTTGTACTCATTTGGGAAGCACACACAAGGAAGGGAAGCTTGTTCCATAGTGATCTAGTTCTAGGAAAGAAGCTTTCAGCTTAGAACTTTCTCTTGATCATGAGAAATGGAGTATGGAGGAATAGATATAAAGGGTGATTCGCTTCCGTAGTACTGTAGTTGCAAAACGTGTCCTGGCTGGAACGTTTTCCACGCATAATAAAAGATATTTCTGATAGCCATCAATTTCTTTAAACAAGGTTAGAGAAGACGACTGCATATTGTAGACATCTTTTTGTTTTTAATTTCAGCAACCTTGACAAAGTACAGGACGGTGATCTGAAGAAGGATTACAAAGATGCTGTTGACAACTTCACCCGTGAGATCTGGAACTCCGGCCAGGTCAAGAGGGTGAAAGGAGATGACATCAAAACCACAGGTATGGAATTTGACGTGGTTCTGAATTTCTACTACTACTACTACTACTATTACTACTAGTACTACAGTAACTACTACTACTACTGCTGCTGCTGCTGCTGCTGCTGCTGCTGCTGCTGCTACTGCTACTACTACAGTAACTACTACTACTACTACTACTACTGCTGCTGCTGCTGCTGCTGCTGCTACTACTACTACTACTACTACTACTACTACTACTACAGTAACTACTACTACTAATACTGCTACTGCTACTGCTACTGCTACTGCTACTGCTACTGCTACTGCTACTACTACTACTGCTACTGCTACTACTACTACTACTACTACTACTGCTGCTACTGCTACTGCTACTACTACTACTACTACTACTACTACTACGACTACTACTACTACTACTACTAATACTGCTACTACTACTAATACTACTACTACTACTACTACTACTACTACTACTACTACTACTACTACTACTGCTACTACTACTACTACTACTACTACTGCTACTACTCATGAATATTCCAAGTATGTCTGATTCCACGATCCTATGAACTCATTTTTGGGTCGATTAAAAGCCAATTTCAATATTGCACGTAATACATTCTAGTGGAGCGAGGAGTTTAGCAATCTGACAATGTGGGGAATGCTGCTATTGTAGAAGCGAACAGTCAATGAAGTTCTCTCTGTATCTTTTAGGTCTTCTCCATATCATGCAGTACTATGTCAACGCCATCAACGACCCGAACGCCATGCCGTCTGTCCTGGGCGCATACGAGGCCATGGCAGAAGGCGAGTGCCGTCGGGCTTCAGAGGAACAGATCAAGACCTTCCAACAGACCGCTGAGAAGACGGTGAAGCCACTCATGCCAACTGACGAGGCGACCTGCAACAGCAAAATCAGGGCTGCCATGGAGAATGCAGTTACCAAGCTGTCTGCAGATGTGGGGAAGTGGGACAAAGGCGGAACATGGAAGAAATCTCTGCAGGTGAATATATTTTATCAGTTGGCTGCACCAATCGTATTGGATTGTGTTACATAGTGTATTGAAGACCCAGTGCAAAGTAGAAGATATAATGAGCATAAGGTCGCAGTATAAACCTGTGGTGAATGGTAGAGAATTGCGTCAGGGTTGAGACTGTAAAAATTGAATTATTATGTTTCTAATTCGGTAGATTTGCTTCTTGCTACTGTCACTGCCTAGTACTGTGTGTCGGCTGCAGTTCACATGACTCCCGCATAGCGCTATTAAAAGATGGTTTGACGAGGAAACGAGCCGACAAATTTGTGCTGACACATTTTTAGATGTACCCTGAGCCTAAACATTCAATTTTTTGTAGCTTGCTTGTGCACCCTACTATAAATTTTGAAGCGTTGAACCTTCTCACTTCGGGCTTCTTAACTATAGAAATCCCCATAGGACGAAAACTGTGTTCTGCTACCTTAGTAGGTAGGCATTTCGTCGGTCTTATAAGACCATGAAAGTACTTCATCTACACCATGTACTTATTCTTGGTTTTGCGCTTAAAGCGTCTCAGTTCTGCCGAGAGTCTCTGTTTTTCTTCCCCCCGATGTAAGCCCTGTTTGTTTGTGTTCTGTTTGTTGCTAGTGTCTCCCATGTGTTACCATAACAGTGGATGCTAAAGTGAAACTAATGCTGTGGCCTGTTCCTAAATTTCATCTTGCTCCCTTCAAAAGTGTGTTCTGCTAAACGGTTGATGAAGCTGAGGTGATGCGGAGTTATGTGAAACTAACTCGCAGTTCTGTGGTCTGTTCCTTTCATGTTAGGGTAAACTCGAGAAGGAACGCCTTGCCTTGATCAGTCTTAACAGCGCCAAGTCTAAGGATCTCTGCGAGAAAATCATCAAAGAAGTCGACCAACCCATCCGACAGAAAGTGGGGAGAGGTGTCTACAACAGAATCGGTGGATTCAATACATACGTACGGGACACGGATGCTGTGTACAGCGCCTACAGGCAAAAAGGTGAAATATCCTTGCATGAAATGGTGCAAATACTATTAAAGAACAAAAATATATTATTTCATTCAAGGACTGTGCGTGGCAACAGAGTTTTGAAGGACAGACACAACTCCATAAAGTCAGAACATAGTTTTACGCGTTTGGTTTTTGGCGACGTCTCAGGAAGGAGCCTAATGGTACAGTATTGTGTGCAGTTTGCAAGAATTCTAGGAATTGCGCAGGAATTCTGTCCACGGGCATGGAATGTCCACAGGCATGTCTCCCAGCTCTGTTTGTTGACAAACCCACATTCCTGGAAACCCTTGGGAAAACCCCCTGATGCCCTACATTCTGCCCCGGATGCCCTACATTCTGTAACCCCGGGGCTCGTTCACTATACACCCAGGGGAGAGGAGGGGAGGTTACCACAGCTTTCTCAAAATCCTGGCAGTGCCATGCAAACAATAACCCTAACAGCAACCACCGTCGCCATGGCAATGTATGTTTTCATTGCCAGTCTTGTTGGTTATTCTACCCAATTTATGGAGCGAGGTACCGTTTTTTGTAACGTTACACACTTTTGTCAGGTTTTTGTGCAGTTTAGATACGAGAGCACTTATTTCTAAGGGACGATCTCTGATGTAATTGTTGTTGCATATCTAGCTTCTGGAAAAGGCCCAGCGGTCGAGAAAGTACTGGAGACATTCCGCACTACAGAGACGACAAGAAGGAACACCATCAAGGACACAGACAACAAGCTGGTGGCGGAAGACCTTCGGGTAAAGGAAGAACAGAGAATTTAATTAATAATGCTCTATTCTTGTAATACAATGGCCATTGACCACTGTGTCATAGTACAATGCTGAACTTTATTCTGACACAACGGGTACACAGAGATCAGATTTTCAACGACCACTGCAGCCTTCATCAATAAATGACCAATCACGTCCAAACGTAATCTCGCGAGAGTTGGGGTTACAAACACATGACCTTATTCACGCGAGACTACTGATACGTGACGTCAAGAATTGATCAAACGTTTCAGGTAGTTCATATCGTCCGCCGTCTCTATGAAGTGATGGCCGGGGTGTCCTAATATATATGACCTCCTTGATACCTCCTAAAACCCAATGACCACTGTCATTAAATGTACATCTGTCATGCAATATTATCAACAATTATTATCTCTTGCACATAGTTTACGTAAGTTGGACAGTATTTTCGAGGATAGCCGGCAAATGTCCTCAATGCATATCACTACGTTGTACTAACCTTTGATTATTTGTCGATAGAAACAAGAGGCTAAGGCAGCAGCAGAAAGAGCCGCTGAAAAGGAGAGACTGGCAAGGGCTGAAGCAGCGAGGGCCGAGGCTGAGAGAGCTGCGGAAGCAGCGAAGCGACGGGCCGCAGAGGAGGAAGCGAAGAGACAGGCAGCTGAAGCTGAAGCTGCCAGGCAGGCACAGAGGGCGGCGGAGGAAAGGGAACGGAGGCACCGAAAAAAGAAGAAGTTTTTAGGAATCTTTTAGACGAGGTATTGCCTATCTCGTTCAGTATCTGAGTAGGATACTGGTAAAAACAAAGAAAATAGAAGCGTGCTTTGCAGTATTATCATGTGGGAGAAGGTTTGCACAAGAAAAGTTAGTGGTGGCTTTTAATAATTGTGATTAGCTTGTTATCATCGTTTCTGAAGGCGAAGAAAGGTTCTTCAAAACATGCAAGGCTTATGGTGTATTCAAGTATATGCATATTATAGCATGTGGTACAAATGTACTGTATAAAAGTGACTCTTGTCTGTAGGCAAAGGCATTATGTAGTGTGTCTAGAATACAGCGAACGCGAATGTGTCGTCTTGAGGTCGATAACATTGTCATATAAAACTCAACAATATCAAGCACTGTTCAAGTCATGGTTTCAAACTACATGTTCGAAAATAGGTTCTGTTTATTGGTGAAATTTCACAAATAATTTCTGTCATCGAAAGTGTCAATCTACAGATATACTAACTGTCGTGGTTCACTCCATGTTTCACTGTGTTAAAATTTCTTCTAAAAATACGTCACTAGCATAAGAAGAAGTACTTTGGGGCTAATATAGTTTCACTATTACACTGGCTTTAATAAATGCATTGTAATGACGATACCAAGATGTCTGTCATACGTAGTAGAGATTTTACACCAATAAAATCGTGTAGAACCAAGCGGCTCCCCTGGCGGTCAATCTCATATTGCACCTTCAAGTAACACACTTTCAAATATGAAACTGCGAAAGGACAACGCGATCTAATCTCCAAGCAGATCCTACGGTGGCAAGGCATTGCCCATTGGCCAGAGGAGTGTCCATTAGCCACCTAGATCGCTTCAGTGGCTAATGGACACTCCTCAATGGATACTGCCTTTCCACCGTAGGATCTGCTTGGAGATTAAATGCGATCTATGGATAGCAAAACAGAGAAAACACAACGTACATTTGGTTCACAAAATAGAATTAAAATTTGGATCCGTTAGCTCTTCAGGACGTGATAATTTATTCATCTTTTGGAAAAATGAGAAGTAAACGGGCTACTTATATTATGATCTAATGTCCAATTTCCAATTTTATTGTTCATGGAATTTCTTCAGCTATTTTGTTAAAGGGTGCAAGAGCCCAAAATCATATTTAGTCAAAAATATGTATATCAATAAACGTAAAAAATAATAACTGTTAGATAAAAACCGAGATAGCTATATTATTTATATTAGGACCACAATTACAAGTTATAACAAAAAGGTAATATTTGCAAAGCAAATGCATAATGTTTACCTTCGCCATATGGTCCTCTCTGTTAATTCTTACTCAAACACATTCACATATATGGTGACCAAATCCCTCCTTCTATAAAATTGCAACATTCTGGAACCCAACACTAGTTACCATGGTGACAGACGGTCTGGTTCAGGACGTCATTGCCCAGGTCATTGTTTGAAACGGAAGAAGAAGAAACAGAGTAAAAACAGAGAAAAAACAATGTTTTCCTTCGGTAAACAGAGAAAAAACAATGCTTTCCTTCTGTAAACTTAACTAACAATGACCTATTCTGTGCTCAATGACTCCATTATTGTGGAGGGTTCGGAGAATTTCAAACTCAGCGGCAAAGTTGTGCGTGTGCTTCCGCTTTAGAACACTGTTGACGGACGTGACGTCATCCCAGTAGTGGTAGGGGACGGTGCGGTTTTGCTGATCGCGCGCAAACGGGTAGAAGCCGTACACTTGGATGCGGTCACAGAAGGTGATGGCGACTTCCACTAGCAGTAGACCTGTCGACGGTCTGTCGTCACTGTTGTGATGCTTGTCCAGAACATCCCAGGCCCTAAAGATATAGAAAACATTAGAGTGGGTATTTTGTTAGTTTGTTTGTTTGTTTATTTATTTATTTATTTATCCAGGAGAACACATGTCGCCTGACGGCGATTTTCAAAGGTTCCTGGGGGGAAAACCCCAAATTTTTCACTTCATGTAGACAAAATACTGCTCTGTTTATTCTTTACTTAAACGTATTTTTATATATGGTGACCAGCCCGTCCGTCTGTCCTGTCACTTGCTACATAATGTAATCCAACACCAAAGGGTTTCTGCTACAGCACCAGTTACCATGGTGACAGCCTGGTGTATCTGGTTGGCCTTTTGTTTGGAACTGAACAATCATTGGACAAGGGATTTGACCTTACTTCAAATACGTGTATTTTACCCGTTGAAGACAGACAAGCATAGCCCTTACAACAGACGTCTGCCGAAGTGCTATACATAATATATTAAGTTCTGCCGACGTACTGAATTTTTATTATTGTTTTTTGTTTCTTTTTTTTAAGTCTGGGAGTATTTTGCTATCAAAAAGGAGTCAGGTACTAGTATCTTATCTATGTATCCTAGATAGATGCAGGAAGGAGGCGATATTATGAACAAGAGATCCACACTTACTGACGACGCATCTCGTCATTGTGAAAGGCGGTTACCCCCATGACGACAACAACATTCAGTCCCTGTCTGCGCAGCATCTGTTCAAAGCTTTTGCCGCGTTGTAAATGATGTGTGGTCGACTTCTAAAATACAAAAATAAAAAATAAAAATACTAGAAACGTAACATTTGCAAAGCAAAAAAAATGCAAATGCATAATCTTTACCTTAGCATTTAGTCTGCTCTGTTAATTCTTACTCAAACACATTCATATTATATGGTGACAGGAGTACAAATCCCTCCTGCTATAAAATTCCAACATGATGTAACACAGCACTAGTTACCATGGTGACAGACGTCTGGTTCAGGTCATTGACCTTAAGCTTATTTGTTTGTAGAAGAAAAAGAAAAAGAAACTGAGCAAAAACAGTATGTTTTCCTTCAGTAAACATAATAAAAAAAGTTATACGACACAATATTGAACAATATTGATGCAAAGAGAAAGCCCGAATTCAAAATTATTGACTTAGCATAGCAGAGGAAAGAAGCAAAAAAGCAGCAACAGTCATAGCAGTTACAAACGATCGGATATCATGATAAGATAGGCAAAATACGAACAGAATTCGCCTTGTATAATGTAACTAGCGTCGACGTAAAGCAGCTGCCATAATGTTGGAAGGTGAAATTATATTGTTTCTATTCAAAGAATTCAATGTTTTAGGTTGCAGCTATATACTTGAATGCAGAAAGTCTGTGAATACATATCTTTTGGTACGTGCATATACTTGTTACAAATTATTATAGTTGCTAATAACTTGCTATTATGATGATGATATAGTTGTTACATGTTATGTTTGCATACATGCTATATGTAATGTGCGTTTTGCAAGGCCCCATTTCAAAGCATTTCTATGAACAAACAAATACTTACTGGAAAGAACAATATCGTATTGTTGGCTTTCTGAATATCCTTTTCCTTAAGTTTTCCTTCCCCTGCTCCTTGGAGGAATTCGTAGATCCTTAGAGACATGATAGTATTGAGAACCATCATTGAAGACTTCTTTCCCACGTCTGTGGTGTAGCCTTCTTGTGGGCTTAGGTTAAATCTAGAAATAAAGGATTATGTTTATACTGTTAACCTTTTGCACACTGAAGGTAGCCGTTTGACTACCAATTTCCATTGATTATGGGGTTAGGCAGCAGGAAGAAGGTTAATGAAATGATACCAATAAGCTACCTACATGCAAAAGTCATTAACGTCCGTTCATCCCTCATTGAGTTATCCTTCTCCAAAGTCTCTAACAAACATTACCCCTGCAGTTCCAACAAAAGCTACTAGAGCGGCGCTTATACTATACTGTGCAAGCCCAACAGTCCAAATGTCACCCAAAAGTTATAACCATGTCCAGAACAAAAAGAAAACTAGAATAATGTTTACCTTTACATTTTAATGGTCTGCTCTGTCAATTCTTACTCAAACACATTCATATATGTGGTCAGACAGGAGTATAAATCCCTCCTACTACAAAATTGCAACATTGTGTAACCGAACACCAGCTGTTACCATGGTGAGAGACGTCAACAAATTAGATCATCGGTCAGGTCAGAGGTCAGTGTTTGGAACGGAAGAAGAGGAAACGTACATGTAGCAATATGTTTTCCTTCGGTAAACATAATAATGCAAACATTCTCTTGAGATTATATATTAGAAACAAAAAGATTCTAACTGTATGTGTCTTCTGGGATGGGAGGATTGTTACTCACGCGAGATCTCATGTATTTTTAAATGTCTTGTAAAATATTTTTCTTTCATTGTAAAAGTGGCTGCGAGAATATAAGTTGTACCTAACTTGAGTTCGCAGTCACTTAGTCCATGTCTTTTCATTTGTAATTCTCATTGAGTTTTCTGAAATAAAAAAAAAAAAAAGAAATGTGATAGCACACATGAAAATATAATTTTATTTTAATCGTAAAATAAGTCCCACCTGATGACAAAGTCACTCGCATCTATGTCGTCACCGCAGCTACTGTTTAGGAGGATCCCACTGCTGCCCACCAGTGCGCATGTGCCGTGGTGACGTAATGACCGAGAAAGCCCCCGGCACTCCCCGTAGTCAAGGCAACGCCGTTTGAGTTTAATGTCTGAGCTGACTTTTACTATAGTCATCATCTGCCCCAAACTGGATTTCAAGACTTTCCTGACGAAAAATACAAACATAAACAAGAGTTCCACGATCTCATACCTTCGCCAAATGATGTTAACCCTTGCGGGTGACGAATTATACAATTTTAATCATTGATTTTGTAAATAAGAGCCTCATTTGCATGGATTATATCAGTTGATCATATTCTCCATCCAATGACGGCCTTATCATAACAAAAAGGCTATTATAGCACTTCCTCATAAATTATGCAAATGAGGTCATGATTTGAATAAATTATGTTTATTGATGTTCACCTTTACTTAACTTCCAAATGTGGCAAGTATGAAATTCGGGGTGCAGCAGTTACAACTATGGAATTATAAGAATTTGCCATTAATTATGCAAATTAGGTCCTCATTTACATAATCTATACCCTCAGATGTTTTTCTCGTTCTCAAGTAGATGTCACAAGTGTTTCATAGTTCTATTATTGAACAAAGCAGATTTATAGAATTTCCTCATTAATTATGCAAATTAAGTCCTGGTTTGCATAATTGCCATCTGATTATGTCAAGCATCACTTCAACTACCTACATACCAAAAATCACGACAATACGTCAACCGGTTCTTGAGTTATCGTCCTTCGAATTTTTTTCAACAAATGCTCTTGCAGTTCCAGAACAAGGCGCTAGGAGACCCAAACTCATGTCACTTCTTCTCTATCCCAAGAGCTATCTGCCATCTAAAATTCGTGACCCTAGCATGTCCAGATCACGAGATATCAAAACCGGAAGTTCTGCTGCAGTACCTAGGAAAGCGGCCAGGGGGCCCAAAATCTAATCATTTCTAGGTCTCATGAAGACCTACCCACCTACCAAGTTTCATTCCAATCCATCCACTGCTTCTTGAGTTATCTTGCTAAACCACACACACACACACAAACACACACACACACACACAGACAAACGCTACTGAAAACATAACCTTCTTGGCGAAGGTAACAAAAACTAGAAAGGTAACATTTGCAAGGCAAGTGCATAATGTTTACCTTCGCATATGGTCTGCTCTGTTAACTCTTCCTCAAACACATTCATATAAATGGCCAGACAGGAGTCTAAATCCCTCCTGCTATGAAATTGCAACATGATGTAACACAACACTAGTTACCATGGCAACAGACACAACATTGGTTCAGGTCAGAGGTCACTGTTTGGAGAAGAAAAAGAAGAACAGGAATAAGAAACTGAGCAAAAACAATGTTTTCCTTCGGTAAACATAAAAAATGGAGATTTCAATCCTGAATTCCGACCAGACCCATTTTCTGTGTACGACATTTTGACCTCACTTCATTCTGCCTGTCCATCTTTCCCATCCACGTTCTGCCAACCTGCTCTGTCTGGACAAACAGACACACAAACGTAGCCACCCAAAACAACACTTCCGTACCCGTAAAACAGGATTTTGAAAGTCAAAAGTCTACATTTCACAAATCTAACCTTAAATTCCCGTTGAAATTTTGACGAATAACCAACGATACTTACTTTAGTTTCAAAAACTCTGTCCGGTTCTTTTCCCATGGTTTGACTGTTTCAAGTCTGGGAGGTGAGGCTAAAGGATTCATGTATCTGAAAACGGTAGTAGAGGGTCACAGTTTACTGTCAGAATAGCCGATCATTATTCAAAAAAGATTCCTTATGTTTAAAAAAAAATCCGATTGTACTGACTCGTATATGTATTTGTTTAAAAAAAACTCTGGTCTTCCTCAGTAGACTGACCCATTGAGACTAGTCATGTGGCCTCTTTGAAGTGTGACGTCACCTCTGGGTCAGTCTACTGAGGAAGACCAGGGTGACTGGACGAAAGTTCTAGGTGAGAACATTTACCATTTTGTATTGGAACAAAAGTTTTACCTTTAAACATGTAACTACCAACACATATGGACTTTCGTGGCGTATATGTATTGGTTAGGTGATGAACGTATATGTGTAGACGGAAATGATATCTCCTCACCTATTCGTTGGATACACGAATACTTGGTAGCCGGAAAATATACACATATACAGATAACCGACCAACGGGAACAGGCACGTGCCTGCAAAAATTATTCTTGCGTGTTTCCTCAGTTGGAAAGTAGTTTCTAAAACAAAAGAGAGTTAACGCGTTATGTATTCTCAGGGGAGATAACCAATACAGTGTTCAAATAGGAAAATACATTAAAGAATGTTTCTATCTTAGAGACTACATGTTACAGAATAGTTAAACCTTTATTGTTTCCGCATACATATACTCTGTACGTAAGATGACGTTATTCACACGTGTATTTAGCTTTGTTAGATCTTTAGTTGTAGAAGACCAATCAAAAGTCCCTGTACTTTTTTGTTGTATCAATAAAGAATCTATTTAATCTAATCAATCTGTTAATCTCATAACTAGGGTGGAAAATCCCTACAAGTACGTTTTTGCCAGGTGAGCTCCCCTAGCATCATTTGGCGAAGGTATGAGATCGTAGAATTCTAGTCAGTTATGTAACATAATATGCAATTATAGTTACGTAACACAATTAGTCATGTATTGACCTAAGAAAATGTCCTATGGACAAAACATGACCTTCAAAGGCAAAAGCTAGCACAATTAACTGTAATTAACAATTAAATCTATGATGATTTGTAATATTTTGTCCCATAGATTTGTTCATGACCTACTGCTCTCAGTTGTTTGGAGTCCAGTTATGGAACTCTGTTCATGTTAGCTAAGTGTCGTGTTGCATACAATAATTGTTTTCGTATTGTCCTTACGTTGCCGAGAGGTTGTAGTGCTAGTTCAATGTTTGTACACCTCTCGACCGAAACATTCGATGCTAGACGCAGGAAATTGTGTTATTCCTTCATTAATAGACTTTACGCCACCAACAATAGTATAATATGCTGTCTATTGAGGTCTGACTGTCAGTTCAGAAATACGTATTTTAAAAATGTGTATAAATTGTTGTATGTTTAGTGTTTCTGTGGTTTTATGTTTGTACTATGGGGATAACCTGAAATAAAGTCATTCATTCATTATAGATGTTACATCTGCATTTAGAATACCCCCCCCCCCACACACACACACACAAACACACACCAACAAATTCAATAACACACTGACACGTGGCCTAGGCTGACTATCGGCAAGCTTAAGTGCTAATACGAGCCTTAGAGTGATCAAGAAAATTACTGCATGTATTGTTAAAAAGTCCAGTATGAAGTGCCAAACAAAGAGGAATGGTGTTATCTTTAACACGACAGCATAAAACATGGTTTAAAGACCAAGGACAGGTTGGTATCAGGTGGTTACAAGTACAGAAAGGGCATTAAATTCACTCACTGTGACCATGGATAAATTCTTACCTTTCCATATCCTTGTGTAGTGCCTTGGCATCATATTTTATGTATCCACATTCACTCAAGACAGTTTTCAGCAGCAAATTCAGGATCTTGTTGGAACAGTATTAAACATAGCAAATTCTGCTGTCTTGTGGTCGAAAAGTTTGTCCTTGGTCCTTCTTGACATTCGTTTCTGTCGTAATAACCTCGTGCGAACGTCATACGACAACAAATACTGCACGGCGTATGCGACGTATATACACTAAATCTGTGACGCGCCTTATTTTGGTAAGGTTAGATGTTTGTATAATACGTGACAAAAACAAAACGCCCAACAGTTTGACCTTTCTGGGCCAATGCGCAAGGTAATTGTATGTTCCTTTTTTTTTAAATATCTTTGCAAGCTTATCAGGGCACAAAATATGAACTACAAGACTACAGAGGTTAGATATGTTAACGAAATATGACTATATTAATCATATAGTGTTCATACATATTTTTTCATCAAATTCATGACAGAAGAAATATCAGTAATTTATCTGTGGGGTCATGGCCCAAACATGCATTATGCTAGCTAGCATGGTAAATGGTGGAAGAGCAAGTCCGTCTACTTTTTTGGCGGCGCCTCAGGGGGTAGTCCATTTGAGTGTTTTTAACAGTTGGATCAACTACTTAGTATGGCGGCCGTGTGCCCGAAACCTGAGCTCTGTCAAAATTTGTCGTTTAATAGAATTCCGGTCAATAGGAAGAATCAAAATTACGACTTATTCCTCGGCTTAAGGCCAGTTAGGTTTCATACGTATCACTGAACGTATGTACAGCGTTGGCGTAGGTCAATGTTGTTGTTTTTTTTGCTCCCACGATTTTAGATGGTTCGTGTCTACCATGTATTCTGATAGGAACGGAGGTCTCACAACATATACACATAGAATAGCCTGGTCATTCAGTCTCACTGGACAAAGTAAGAATCCTGGACTCAGAACCGGATTTCTTTGCACGAGGGATTAAAGAGGCCATCTATATCAGGGCATTACAACCATCCCTCAACAGAGACGGGGGGCGCCACAGACTTTCTGCCACCTATGATCCACTGCTCACGGAGTCACGTGTGTTATCTGCGTGACGTCACAGAAGCGGTGGATTGTTCATTTCTCGACAAAGACTGGAGTGGTACAGTCGAAAATTTGGGTGAGTCCAATTTCTTGTGTTGGAATTTACAGTTCAAGCTTGCTGCATAAGGAACGTTTTCTGTTGTGACTTGGGAGATGCTTGTTATTTGGAAAAGGGCAAACCCGTAGTATTCATAGAACAGTTCGACTTTGATTGCATATCAATAAAATGACTCGTAAACTAAGAATTATAGTTATTCTAGGTTTCTCTTTATTTTTTGCATCATTATTTTGCATCGCTTAACACCAGCATCAACCGTATGACTATTTCCTTCGACTTAATTATTTACCAATATGTCATCATTATCATCCAAAAACAACTTTACCTTAACACTTATCTATTCTTGCAAAGGCTTTTGCATAATATGTCAGTATACCAAGTAAAATACACCATTATTCCAGTAACATACTGAAGCTTAAACATTTGACCAAGCGCTCTAATTTAGAAAGATTTGGAAATATTTTATGTGTACGTTTTCGTGTTTGAGGCTCTTGCATAAAGAACATAATAATGTAAAAAGTAAAGTTTATTAGAGGAATGCTGCATAAACGTAGTACATTTTAGCTGATAATGTTTTTCACTTTGACGCGTTTGTATTTTTCCCATTCACCAGTTTCCCATCCCCAGAATGCAACGCGAAAACAGGGGTCTAACATAGATAATAATGTCAAATTTGTGACCTTCCCATGGTATGGCTCATAGTATAAATATAGCTGGCCGAATTGTTCAGACAGGATTTTCATACATTTCTTTCTTAATTGGATCTGTCACTGGAATGTTTGCCATAAGAAACAGGAAAATTAGACATACAGTTTTCATTTATTAAACGCACCCAATGCAATTTCAGGGAGGCAGAACACATATTATGGACGTGGAAATCTGTCATTTCTTAACACATTTTCTTCTTAGTCATAAGCGTAGCGTATTTCATATTTGAAGTGTTTGAGATAGTCCCAAAACAAGCTACGCGAGGAGTACCTTTATTTTTGAGTACACCAATAAATATCTACAACCAGCCTACTATACCAAACGGCAACCATTTTCGATAAGTGGCATTTTTTCGCAAATTGACTTTGAAAGTCCAGTCTTACTGCCATGAAATCGCTTTGGGTGCCTTTCAGCTCTTGGTATACCGGTAATGGGCACATCAACGTATGTAGTATTCAGGCAAGATTTTGGTACATTTTTTTTAAAATCTGTGACTGGAATGTATAGCACAGAGCGGTACGTATAGACATGGATGGGAAAATTAAACATACACTTGTGTTTCTAGTGAATTCTTTCATCAGTGACAACTTTGGAAGGATAAGGATACTAACCTCCAAATTTTCGATGGCTATCAGTCCATCTTGTTCACGGAGTGGCCTAATCTCGCGAGAGCGCGAGACTAGGCCCGAGACTTGCATCGGAGGTTAGTATCCTTATTCTTCCAAAGTTGTCACTGATGAAAGAATTCACTAGGAACTGTATCTATACGTGACAAATCAATCTCTTCAACACTTGTGTTTGTTTATAGACACAATAACCTATACCATGTTGACTGGATTCTTTCAGGCAAGATTTTGGTACATTTCGTCGATCTGTGACTGGAATGTTGACTTCAGGGCGGACCGTTTAGACTTGAAGGTCGGGGTGAGCAGGCCGTTCTCCAGGCTGAAGAGCTCAGGATGCAGGTGAACGGCCTTTACCTGGAAAGAAAAAAAACGGTTATTACATATTAAGTAGGTGACTATTTCTTGTTGACGGCGGACGATATAGACTACAGTGCACCTTTGACCCACCTATGACGTCACGTTTCTTGAAAGTCTATGTATGTATTTAGTGGTCCAGATACCCAATCTCAATGACAACCAAAAACAGCGGAAAATTTGTATAGGACGGGGGGCGATACAGACTACAAACGACCTTTGACCATTGCTGACGTCACACGTGCATGGTGGAGTCACGTGTCCCGAGTAGGAAAGCCGAAGAGGACGGAGTACTACGTAATTCGATCGGAAATTACGTGGAGTCCATCTTTTTAGATTGGAGAACAGTTCAAATTGTAACGGTTTTTTTCTTTGTGATGGATCAAACAACTTTTCATAATTTTTCCACCAACGAAAATTTCCTCACCTGCTCGAATGAATGAAGGCCACGTTGTCTCCCCAAACTGGTTACCTCTTCTAGAATGGCGTCCTTCACAGTCTGACGTAAAACAAAAAATAGCGTCCAGTGGAACAATACATTTCATATGAAAAACATATTAACTGTATTTCGCATATTCACATCGTCATCAAAGCTACCATTCTATATATCTGATTTCATAATCAATGAAAGGATTGAAAAATGAAATGGTGTGTGCATAATATTACAATCACCTTATTCATGCACAACTCTTGCATGGTGCCCTTCAGGTTCAGATTGTTCTTGGCCCAACCTGGCAACACCTCAGGATCGGGGACAAAAACTCCAACACACGATGCCTGGCAAAAAAACAAAGAAAAAAGGCAAGTGGCCGTTTTAACCAGCCTTCTTAAAATGTAATGCAATATTTGAATACTCGTATTTTTTTTTATTTACTTAAGTTTTATCCTTGTTATCACAACACAGCAATAAGTTGTCTTACTTGAATGACAAATATGATAAGCGATAAAAAACGTTCAGTAGACTTAATAAGAAAATGCACAGTCGCGAAACAAAATACAAGTTTCATACATATATTTTTTTTGGCTATAAAAACAGATATCAAGATTGAATGTAAAAAAAATCCAGGAAACATTGTTCTTCATTCGACATTTGATATCATGTTTATTATTTACTGTGTCAAGATACTAGTAATATATATCATCATCTAACCCTCAAGCTCTCTCCATGAACAACAAAATAATGAGACATGACACCCCCAGGTTGCGGTCGTACGAAAATATTAAGACAATCGTGCAACAATTGTGCGACTAAGTGATGGAGCCCTTACCTTGAGGCTCTCTCCGTGAACGAAAGCCTGTGCCACCAGTGGGCTGCTGGTGTAGATACTCTCCACTTTCTCCGGAGCGATGTACTCTCCCTGGTATCGGTACAAAAACACAACTTATACAGTTAAAACTCCCCTTAGATTCATTCAATTCAAAGCCTTTATCTATTATCGATAGCTTTTTAAGATAAAGTGGTGCTCATATGGACAGAGAGGTAAAAATTGAAAGTATTAACAGTACAATAAATGGACTGAATTTAAGTAGTTTTACCTGTGCAAGCTTGAAAATGTGCTTCTTTCTGTCAATGATCTTGAGAACGCCGTTCTAAAACAATATACAAATAAAAACAACTGATAAAACACAATTCTACCAAGAACTGAAAACTTAACTGAAAAAATGTACTCATGTCAAACAGAACATAAATGGACATGATAAACGAATTAAAAAGAATGAAAAAACGTGAACTTAATTTTAAAATGAATGAAAAACGAATGAATACCGGCAGCCACTCCCCCACGTCTCCTGTGTGCAACCAGCCGTCCTCATCAAGCGCTTCTGCTGTTCTCTCGGGGGCCTTGTAATATCCCTTCATGATGTTCGGACCCTTGGCGCAAACCTGTTACCATGGTAACAATATTCAATAGGCAGAAACACCAGTTCTCTTTTCTTTTGATTTTTATTGCCAAAATCCTAACACAAGCTAAAAAATTCTTTCCAAAAGTCATTTTCAAATAATTAATATGACACCTAACAAAAATGTTTTTTATTCTTTTTCTTTTATGTTTTAACTTTGACTGAAATTGATCTTTATCTAAAAAAAGAGATCCTTACCTCCCCTTGGTTGTTCCTAGTGTAGTAGTCCATTTCCGGAATGTCCACAAGCTTTATAAGGTTGCAGGTCAGTGGAGAACCAACGTGACCTGAAAAGTCCATATGAAAATGATTATGCACAAACTGTATCGTTTAGCTATACTATAATAATTAGTCATTATTGGGATTTAGATTCTCTGTCATCAAGAAAAGTTCATTTTTATATGTAAAACTGACATGCAGCATAAGGTACCGCTTGATGTACATTTTGTATTTCTGCAAGGAGGTTAAAAGAAAATTCAGGATGTCTCACCGGTACTGTGATCTCCAGGTGTGGAAAAGGAAACTCCAGCATTCGCCTCTGTTTGTCCATATCCTTCATAGACCTGGCGAATAAAAGGTAGAGTATTTGTTTGTTTTGTTTGCTATTATCAGTTTACTACTCTGTTACTTAAAAGAACAAGTTATCTCTATGTTTGTTCCATGACATGTAGTTGTAGCTGGTCGATGTAACTCCTTGACAAACATGTTATTTATTACATCAGACCATCAAACTTCATTAAACTTCATTGACCTAGGACGGGGGCCGATACAGACTTCTGACGACCTTTGACCCATTGCTCACATTTCATTGCTGGGGGGGGGGCAAGTGTCCTGAGCAATCGGGTACTCAGTTGTCCAGACGAGGATCAGAGAACTGGTCGAAGACTCGTTGAGCCTGTTCTTTTTGTGTTTAAACAAACTTTTTAAGTTAAATCCTTCTAAAAATACAAAAACCGCAAGGCCTACCGCACAACCCAGCGCCGCCCTCAGGAAAGTTATAGCCGTCTCCGACAGAGGAGCTGATCCAGTGATCAGGCACCTCACACGACCTCCCAGCAGATTCTACGGAAAGAAGGTACGTTTATTCATTTATCTAACTCAAGCACCCATTATTTGCCTATATTTACAGAGAGTGCAAAACATACACGGTATGAACATCAATATTTCGAACATAATTGAGGCAAATATATTTTAGCAATCAAAATTGTGGTCAGTTCAACGAAGGACTTACTTGTACTTTGCCAAAGATCAAGGTATCCCAAATACTGTCACGTCGGACAATCCCTCTGAAAGAAAAAGAGTGGCATTTAGATTGTTGATTTTAGTGATTGTCTACTAGGGCAAACCTGAATTTGTTCACTACAATGTCCTTCTGAACATAATTATGTCAGTGTTACCTTTTCACTTCCGCACATTTGCTCCTCAGGGCGATTTCCAGAAGTTTCTTCTTGATAGCGCTACCTTGTACTCCGGCGTGGACCTGAGAAAAATATCAGACCCAATCAGATGTTAAAGTCAAACCTTGCATGCTGAGAGGTTGTCGTAGTAACTAGCTGCACGGGTGGACAAACTCCCTTCAACAGCCTAAGCCTGTCTAGAAACAATTTAGACTGCCAACTTGATCTTAATGACAATCTGCGGTTCCCAAATGCGAACCCCCTCCTGAAACTCTACTGCATTCAGATCCCTAAACGTATGAATGCACAAGCAAATACACACAAAACGATACCTCGAAATGAAACGACTAATGTTCAAGATATCACCTTGTCATATATCCTATTCAGAAGCCGTGGGACAGACGGGAAGATGGTAGGCCGGAGTACCCGGAAGTCGTCAAGCAGTTTCTTTACGTCACCACCAAAGAATCCGATCTGAACACCCGTCATGAAGAACATTACCTGCAAACAACAACAGAAAAATGCATTGTCCTCGAGCCTCCTTGATTAATTTGTCAAAGAAAAATGGCGAATTAAACCGATGAGATTGCTAGAAAATGAGGGTACATTTGCCTTTCTTGTTATGATTTCATTTAATAGTATTTGCATTTGATACATTGTGTACAATTGGATGAAAGTGTTATTGCAATACTTACGTGCAATGATCTCTCAAACTGGTGTGGAAGAGGCAAGTAGGAAACATGCATGTCATCAGGTCCCAGGCACAGGTATCCCTGAAAGACATGAGTGTACAGAAATTTAAAAGTTTTTTTAATTCAATATTACATTTCTTACTTCAGTAATCCTTTGCTAATTATTTGCAATTAGAAACCCTCTCATAGAGTGCTCTTAGGTTTAAAAAATATAGACACTAAACTCGCGTTGTATTAGTATAATCAAAGATGGCGACTAACAGTTTCAATGACGTCATCAAATATGGCGGCAACAAATGGCTTTCCATGCGCAAATAATCAAAGTAACCAACCTCTACGTGTTTCAGCACGGCACTGATGTTTGTGATGATGTTCCTGTGAGTCAGCATCACACCTTTGGGAACTCCTGCAAAGAATTGGAGACAACTGGTGAGGAAAATAATCTGTGCAAACTCAATGATTTTGTGTCAAGTGATCATTGGTTGTGTCTGTCCTTGGTGCTAAAATGACAGTCCTTTCAGATTTACTATTGTTGTACTAATATATAAAATAACTTGTGTCTGTTGTTGTTTACAACTTGTCAAAACTGTTGTGATTTATAGCTAGAAGCAGTACGTTTGTTAAAAAATGGTAACTCCGTACCTCTTCCTTCCTAGCATTCTGTTTTTCAAGCACAGATTGTAAATTTTCATGGCCGACGCAGAATACATTAAGGTGTCCTCCCTGGCTAATTTGGCATTTTAACTTTCCATCGTTTTCTCACAAAGAAATTTAGAAAGGACTGTAGTTGTACTGAATATTGATACCTGGGTACAACAGGGTTATGAATATGATTTTATGGACCATATGGATGACGTCATCATATTTTATTGCCCCAAATGTAATTATCTTTAAATTTATAATATAGCACTTTGGTACAAGTAACTGAAATAAAAATATGATTTTCATGTGCATAATGGTCAAAGCTACAAACGTACGTTTGCACAAATTGATATCTACTAATTACCCGTAGTTATTAGAGAATAACTAGATTTTAATTAGGCAATTAGATTATTCTCTAATAACTACGGATCTTTGTGAGAAAACGATGGAAACTTAAAATGCCAAATTAGCCGGGGAGGACACCTTAAGCTTCACTAAAGTATAACTACAGTGCACGTGCTTTATTCAGTTGTTAACTTCTAAAATGTTTTTGATTGCAACGGTTTTTACTACCAACCTGTAGTGCCGCTGGTGTAGCAAATCGTCAACAAGTCTTCTGGACGAGGAGGCTAAGAAAAAAGGTAAGGATTTATATCTTAAAACATAAGATCTAATCACTTTTTCTGAAGAAACTAAACAAGTCGACAATTCCATTACATACTAGTTTGGTCTGACTTAGACAGTTCAACGGTCCAGTAGATTTAAATATGCTCACATGACAACAATAGACCAACTACAAGTACTCGCCTACTTGTGCATTTTGAATTTACGCCATCTTGTTCCTTAAAGATATTTTGCAAGTTTGACTTTATTGAGGATAACTTTGCTCCCAACCAGTGTACATGTCTGTATATCTGGTACAACTACGAAATAAACAAGTGCTAAAAAATTAACTTACAACAGCATCATGTGGGTTTTTCCTTCCTGCTTCCTGTTGAAGATGAAAAGAGTTATTTCATAAAATGATAAATTTCTAACAATTTCAAATTTCTAACATTTCTTTCAATTTCAAATTTCTAACAAATAACGAATTCAAACCGACATAAACTTCACATCATTGCCGTTACACTTTTGAATGTACATTTATCACTGATTTGCTAACGTACCTCCACGTCATCAAACGTCATTATCTCAACACCCAATGAGGTGGCTCGTTTCTTGAGTTCATCAGTGATCTTCTCCATGAGCACGATTCTCTTGACCGTGGACAGGTCCTGGACATTGTCGAGAATGGAGGACACCTTCTTCTCCACGTCACACACAATGGTGTGGAGATTCGCTGGAAGAGAACGTCGATCATTTGGAACAAAAAATGTAGCGTTTTCATTTCAAATTTTATATTTGAAAATATGATTCTTAGCCTAGATGCCTGTTTTTAATTGGGGTATAACAAAATCAAAAAAAAAAGAGGGAAAACTAGACAAGAGAGACAGGAGGTTTCTTAACTATTTTCTTAGCCTAGATGTCTGCCATTTTAGATTTGGTATGCTCTTTCTTGAAGCGACTGAGCCCGTGTTAAAGCTGAAAATGCTGATTCTTTTAGCCTGAAGTACAGCCTTTTTAAGTTATCCGAGTATTCTTTAGCAGTTCATCACTTTGACTGTAAGCACCACATGGCAAAATATACCAAAACTACAGTACGGAAACATGGTATCTAAAAAAAGATACATCACTTTCTTTCTTGTGACTTTGCTGCGTTTAGCAAATTATACCGTTGTACAAAGTAAGTTATTGTGTGATACATATACCTACCAGTGCCTATGATTTATTTACCACTTATAAACTTATGCTCCTTTTGATATTGATGATAATCCTCACCCTGTTCTATGACAAATTTGATGGCCTGTGGTCCCAGTGTGTCGTACAGAGGAACAACCACCATGGAGAACGCACTGCACGCCTGCTCAGCTATCACCCACTGAAACACAAAACCTTTGGATGTCATCCACACCTGGGTACACCAACCGTTGCCGCGACGGGGGACGGCACAGGCTTCTTTTACTCACTGATGACGTCACTTGAGGGCTCGAGACTGGTCATTGTGACGTTCAGACAGCCGAAAATACGTTAGTTATTTTTGTTGTGTTGTATGACAATTTATTTCAGGAACAACACCATGATCTCTACACCACCTTCATTGACTTAACAAAGTTAAGGCCAATTTAGTTCGAGACAAAATAACACTGAACTGATGTTAATTGTTACGCACTCTAGATTGAATTAGGTCAAATTGAAGTGTAAATTGAAGAGAAAGCTGTAAAATTTTCTGACTTAACATAAAGGTGTTTAAAGAAAAGGATATTTTGCTGACCTCTGGTCGATTCTGTGAGAAGATCCCGACAAAGGTGTCTTGACCGGGGGACAGGCCTTTCTCCAGCAGACCCGAGCCGAAACGGAGGGCGCTCTCGTGCACCTAAACCACAGAAAATTAGCATGTCCACAATATGGCAAAACCAAAAATTCCGCTGCAGTACCATAACAAGTAGCCAGGGGTTAAAAATCTAATCATTTCGAGGTTTTATAAAGACCTTATATATATAGACCCACCTACTACATTAATATCAAGACAAACCGTCTAAGCCTTCTCGAGATATCGTCTTGACAGACAGACACACACACACACACACACACACACACACACACACATGTACACACACACGCACACACGCGCACGCACACATACACACGCACGCACACACACGCACACACGCACACACGGCATAACCTTTTTCACGTTTTAGGTAAAAACATCATCGTCACAGAAAAATTGGTGAAGACATCTAACATTTTCCATATGCCGATCACCAAGCCGCGGGCTGTGTTGACCTTGGGTAACCCTGCCACATACCCAACCTCAGCGCTGCACGACCAAGACTGGCATCTGGTTCAGTCACGCACTGTCAATTATAATCTCCAAGCAGATCTTTCGGTGGCTGCAAAGACAGTATCAAATTGACCAGGCAGTATTAGGTGGTCAATTGATACTGCCTGGCCAATTTGGTACTGTTTTCGGTCACCGAAAGATCTAGCCTTGAGCCCAGCCTTGTCATTAGCTTTGGTCCGCTCAGAAAAAGACCCGCTGGGTGGGTACGAACGATCTGCTTGGAGATTAGGTTAATTTAGCATTTGGCTCGGTGATGCCCTACGTTTTTTTTTTTTTTTAACGGTGTCGCTCAATGCAAGGCCATTTGGTCACTTCTAGGCATAGAGCTAGTCTGTAACTGTAAGTACTAACAGCAACTCTTCTCCCTGAGTCAGAAACACAACGTTGATCTGGTTAGACTTTCATCAACGATTCTTTTGTGCTGAAGACATCGACTGTGAGGCCAAAGATCGGCAACATTTTTGTTTGGTCATGTCATTCGAGGTCATGTCCTTGAAAGGCAATGCAACTGTTACACGATGTTAAGTGAGCCTGTGCCTGGTAGAAAGTTGAAGTGTTCCACCCGGTCTTATAGAGTAAAGGTTGAAGAAATATATAACACCTGTTGATATGTCATCCACTGGTAAGGTTCTTCAGGCGCTGCTCGCCAACCAAGACATCGTCCTGTCCCGTCTGTGTGCAAGAAGAAGATGAATACTAAGAGTTGAAAATGTAAATATAGTAAAAAATGTAAATATAGCTGAAAATGCACATCAATACAACGTTTTCCGCTTGTACAGGTCTAGCTAGCGACAATCTTTCACATTTTTGAGAGCAACTTTTCTTGATTATTATAGCATCAAAATTTTATGCGTTGGTATGATAAGAAAGCAAGGGGGCGATACAGACTTCCAAGTACTGTAGTCACGTGATCGATTGATGGTGGGTCATTGAACCTGAAGACGTCCATAGTTGCAGCTGAAATTTCTGTTCTGTAAGTCGTATTTTCCTTCTGTTTGGTCGAAAGCTAAAATTATGTTTGGCATACATATAGCTTTAACTTCTTAAACTTTTTAAAATGAAGAAAGAAAGAGAAAGACGTACTTGTCAACCTGATGCCCCTCTGAAACCCTTCGTATGTGGTTGTGACGTCATCGTAAAGGTATTCCAGTAATTTTCCATCCTTGCACCTGGTGGAAATGTGGGCTCCGTCCTGGCCCTGGAGCGGGAAACAAAACTCTCATCTGGTACAGATACTAGTAGCTAGTCTCTACCAGACTAACTACGCTGGCTATATAATAATATAGGACAATGTTTGCCAGGGGAGTTTGGCCGCCTTGGGGTTTGACTCGCAGCGCAGTTTGGAGGGAAATTAACAAACTTCCCGTGCCCGGACTCCCTTGGCCAGTCTTAATTAATATCCAAGCAGATCTTTTGGTGGGGGTAAGACAGTATAAAGAACGTACAGTATGATACTCGTATCGAAACAGTATATGAAATACTTCTCACAAAAGAGTATCAAATTGGCCAGTCTGTATCCATTTCCCCATACAGGCTGGCCAATTTGATACTGTCTTACCCCCACCAAAAGATCTGCTTGGAGATTAAGTCTTAATCTCTTTTTTTTGCCTTAGACGATCCGTATTCCCGTAGAAAGGCCTGGTGGAGGCTTACTAGTAGCGTCCTGTGCAGACCTTTCTAGCGGTCTACGTTTGAAGATACAGAAACTACTGTGAAAAGGGGTGCTGCTGTCAGCAAAAAGAAAACAAACATACAGTGGGTGTCACACGAAGACAGGAGAAAATGTATGTTTTTATTTGGGATACAATGTCGCTTTGGTGTGACTAATTTCTTTCACGTATAGCATGGCAAAAACTATATATTCATAATCAATTGAGAAGGATTCCACATACTAGTACTCAACCACGCATGTTATATTTTTCATTTTCTGTTCTTTGAAGTCTCAGCTCAGTTAAAAACTTGGAGAACTGACCTCCACCTCCACAGACTGGCGATCGAGCGGGCAGGGCGGTGGGATGGGAGACGGGCGGGAGGCCAGGTAGTATGCCCCCGCCGCCACCGCCACGGCGCCCGCTGCCAGCTTGGCCGACGACACCTCCAGAATACTCTCCATGGCTGTACTTATGTTCCCGCCTGTTGTGCTGTCTGATTGGTAGAAAATCATAAGCTGAAAATGGGGAGCTCACACAAAAGGTGAGACGTGGAATGCGTTGAAAATCAGGTCAGGTCACCCGAGTTCAACAAATAAACCTCACACCCCTCCCCATTTTCTTCTGCTTTCCTGACCAACACTTTTAGTCTACCTTCTTTTACTCCGCAGTTTAACAATATCTTATAGGCCAGGGTAGTTCCCTGCACTCTAAGGACAATTACCTACAATGTTTACAAACATTTAGCTCTCAGAGTTCAAAACAGTAGCTCTGTGGCTTAAAGCTAAACCCGAGAACACGCCAAAGGAATCGCTACACAATCACACAGATTTAGGGACTAACCTATTCAGTGAAACTGACTTGAAGCATGCCAACTCACAGAACTCGGCCAAGATTACCCCTCTGAGGTGCCCCTTTCCAAGATTTTGGCCCCCACCTTTAAGACTGCTCCAGTTGCCTGGTCACATTCCTTATAAACTACTCCGTACTCAGTCTTTTATTTGAAGCCAGCAGAGCAGTAAGGGGCGGTTCAGGATAGACGACAGAGGGGTTGATGTGGAATGAACTGTATTATCATAACAGTACGGCAGGGGATTGTGTAGTAACATTCGCGAAATTTTACAGGTAAATTGATTATTTTGCTACATTTCACCGTCGACTTTAAGTTCTGAGACTTTTTCATCATTTCAAAGGATTTTTCGGTATTGTTGTTGTCATTTTCACACCCTATCATCAACATTTTACCCTCCCTTGAATGCGACCAAACCGTATCCGAATCACTGGTTGACATTTGACCTGTTGGGGCTAAGTTCCGTGTCAAATGAGGACAAGTTACAACGGAACAAAGGTCTCTAGGATTTGGTCCAGCTTTGATAAGCTTCAACATATTACATAAGAACATTTTCTCACATATCAGACATCTTTAACAAATCGTGGACGAACTCGGAAAAGTTAGTGGTACATAATGTTGGCATGTTTGAGAAGAAAAACCGGATATGCCTGTGTGTTACAGTCGTTTTGAAAACAGTGCCTGGGCCTGCACAAAATAATGAGAAGTTGTCAAAACATGAGTGCCATTCTTCACTTATCAACATCATAGATGGGCGACTTGCCAGTTTCTGTAAATAAACCCAAAGTCGACAAAAACACCGCATGGGGTCCAAACTCCAAGTCGTTGGGACAAAAACACCCAAAACTCGTGACGGTCACACTTCAAACTTCAGTCAAACTTACTGTCCTTATCGGGACTGAATTGCACTGGTAAACACTCTAGTTTAGCACTTTCTTGCTGCATGTAAATATAGAAAGGGGGGCGAAAGGAAAATACGCAGATTATAACTCTTTCTTGTATTAATAGTAACTTAGTTAAGTTTAAAACTTAAGTAACTTCACCTGTGTGTCACCTACCTTACATTGCTTGCCCCCTTCTGGCACTCAGACAACACGAGTACATATTTGAAGTTTTTCCCAAGCAATTATTTGCCCAAGTCTTCAATGTGCTACATGTGGCCCTTCGTTTACACACACAATACAGGGCCAAACGACGTAATACGGGGGCCAAACTTTGCTAGGTAAGTTTTGTTAGACCATTTCCAATCATGGAAGAGCGTCTACAACCCGTAGAAGCTTCGTGGGTTTTTTTTAGGTCAAACATTTTTACAGTAAGACCATGTGAGAGGTACATGTACTGGTCGAGTGAGTGACCCATCCTCTCCAAATAAAGTGCCCCTCCCACTAGCTCGAGTTTTGCGTTTCTACTGTTGGCGTTATTAAAGCTGCATTATGACCAATACACAGAAACTGGAACAAGTCTAGTCAAGATAACAGTAGTAATAGTAGTAGTATCTTACCGTTGGTTAACTGGTTCAGCGCTGAAAAAAGCGGCCACGTAGTCAGTGTAGTCGGTTGCAAATTTTGGGAAGACAACACGTACCGACTTTCTCGCCTTTTCGTTATCAAATTACGATCGGTGTCTCGTGTAGGGGTTAATGAGAATAAGAGGTTTACGTACTCACAATGCTGTAGCGGAGTCGCTGAAACCCTTACGTTAGCCTAACGTTCAAGTCGCGCCAAACAGCTGGAGAAACGTGAACTTTGACCCACACCTGGCAACATTGCAAAGCCTCATGGGAATAGTCCTTGGGGGGGGGGGGTATTAAGGAGGTACCACTTGCTGTAAACAAATAACTTTCCATGGCCTTGAATTTTGAATAAGCGAGATTATGAGAATTTACCATAAAAAGTTCTATATATATTATATATGCATAATCTAATCTATTTCAAATTCACGGGCACGGAAACTAACATCTTCACAAGTTCTCATAATCTAAGCTGTTCAAAATTGAAGACCGAATGGAAACTAATACGTTTTCATGGGTAATCTCATCTATTCAAAGGTATATGGAAACATAGGCTACCAGGAGGTGTAACTGTTAGTATTTTATTAATATATTAATTTTCGCAGAGGTAGGTCTTGTGTAGAGATTAGGGCAATGTAAAATTTTGACCGAACTCTAAAGTTACTAGTACTGAACACTCAGCTCTTCGAAGTATAAAACAAGAGTTCCACGATCTCATACCTTCGCCAAATGATGTTAACCCTTGCGGGTGACGAATTATACAATTTTAATCATTGATTTTGTAAATAAGAGCCTCATTTGCATGGATTATATCAGTTGATCATATTCTCCATCCAATGACAGTCTTATCATAACAAAAAGGCTATTATAGCACTTCCTCATAAATTATGCAAATGAAGTCATGATTTGAATAAATTATGTTTATTGATCACTGAATAAATTATGTTCACCTTCACTTAACTTCCAAATGTGGCAAGTATGAAATTCGGGGTGCAGCAGTTACAACTATGAAATTATTTGCCATTAATTATGCAAATTAGTTCCTCATTTACATAATCTATATCCTCAGATGTTTTTTTTCGTTCTCAAGTAGATGTCACAAGTGTTTCATAGTTCTATTATCGAACAAAGCAGATTTATAGAATTTCCTCATTAATTATGCAAATTAGCCCCTGATTTGCATAATTGCCATCTTATTATGTCAAGCATCACTTCAACTACCTACATACCAAAAATGAAGACAATACGTCAACCGGTTCTTGAGTTATCGTCCTTCTAATTTTTTCAACAAATGCTCCTGCAGTTCCAGAACAAGGAGCTAGGGGACCCAAACCCATGTCACTTCTTTCCTACCCCAAGAGCTATCTACCAACCAAAATTCGTGACCCTAGCATGTCCAGAACATGAGATATCAAAACCGGAAGTTAAGCTGCAGTACCTAGGAAAGCCGCAAGGGGGCCCAAAATCTAATCATTTCTAGGTCTCATGAAGACCTACCCACCTATCAAGTTTCATTCCAATCCATCAACTGCTTCTCGAGTTATTTTGCTAAACCACACACACACAAACACACACACACACACACACACACACACACACACACACACACACACACACACACAGACAAACGCTACTGAAAACATAACCTTCTTGGCGAAGGTAAAAAGACGCTTTAGGCAAGCAAATTTTATGGATGGCATTCTTCCCGCAGACTCCAAATCTAATGCGAAAGGACGAAAAAAAGCAAGGCGGGCCAAAGAAACAAGATTCCTAGATTTTAAACATCATAACTCTTGTAAAACGAGAAATGATACCTTTATTGTGCTAGGTTTACTGTCAACTATTACAACATACATTGTCACTGAAACAACAAGTTTCAATGCATTGTATTAATGATTTTTATCACGTATACACAGCAACCATCACATATAAAAGGAATGAAATACATCACAGCATCAAAGTAAAAGACAAAACATAAAATCAGAGCCTTGTCTTGTCTCATCATATCTATCTGAGTGGCATCCACGTTCCGGCGGCATGGCAACAGACATCTTTGCCCATTTTCGGGTGGGCAGTGCACTGGTAGGAACGACATTTTTCTGTTACCCCAGTCCGTTTTTGACCTGTGGACTTGAAAAACATGTCGTGTTTGTCAAGTAAGCCAGTGGATGGTTCCATTCCAATGAAGGCATCTCCCAAAGTCCCCAACCTAACCTTATTTGACGAGTAGACAACAGTGACGACATAACCTTGATACAAGTAACCACACACAGTTAATATATAAAGAGACAAATTAATAATTCTTATAAAGCATATACAGATAAACTCTCTTTTACAAATAATCCGCCCACATCCGCTTCCGTAGTGGTGCCTAAGTAGTTGTTGTCCTATAGTTCCTATCAGTGCCATGCTAAAACTGTGAAGCAAGGAGGTTGCTCCGTTTCACACTGAAAAAAAGCAGTTTAAAACATGTCTGAGAAGAGCGCTAGAGGCGGAGCGGCCAGGGGGAACCGTGGGAGGGGTAGAGGGAGGGGTACCCGCGGGGGCACCGGCCGCAACCCGGGAGGAAGCGTAGCCCCGGGGGCTGGGGCGAACCCTCAGTTCACCACGGACCAAGTCGTGGCCATGGTAAAAGCTTTGTCTACATCCCAGGCCTCCCTTAGTGCCGCAATAGAAACAGAAGAACAGTTTGAAGAAGAAGAGGAAGAAGAAGAAGAAGGAGACACCAAGAAGGGTGGAGGAAAGAAAGGTAGAAAGCAATCAAAGCAAGAGAAAGAGCCACCAGCAAAAATTAGCGCCAAGGAGGGGAGGATCATTCGAGAGCTGGTCTCAATCCTGTTCGACAAGTCTGGTGATGTCCCGGTCGTGAAGTTGCAACAAGAAGCCAAGAAAGTCAGCAATCGTCAAGAGTACCAGGATCCAGGGAAACTGGCCACTTTCCTGCATAAGCACGACTTCTTTCAGACCAGGTAGGATGTACATATAGCTAAAAAAATACCGATCAGCCAGAGTGATAAGTGGACACCACGGGATTCCTTACCCCTCCCACAAATCTCTCTACTCTCGGTTAGCGCTCCCTTCACTTATTTTTCGTCGTAAGTTCCACACAGTAACGACTCTGTACAAATTTAAGAATGGTCACTGCCCGCCCCACCTAGCTAGTATTTTACCTATTACCAGGACATCCGCCATACATTCTAGAGACCCCCTCAGAAACGGAAACCTCTGTATACAAATCTCCAAAAGTTGTAGAACACAGAACGCCTTCCTCCACAGAGCCACCCTTTTATGGAATTCCCTCCCAATTGACATACAAACAGCCCCTACTCTTTCTTCCTTTAAAGCTAAAGTATGGAAATCCCTTGGAGATCCATATTCTGCCTAATAAAAGTGAATTTGTATCAACCCCCCATATAAACATATACATAATAATACATATTGCATTTTTGTACCTCGGCAACCATGTATATACCAGGACTCTATAACTGTATTTTTAAAATGTATGTATATTATTGCACCATTGTACATAATTTATATATTTCACTAAGCATGTATTTTGTAAATTGTAATATGCATTATATGTATGTCTAATAATTTTCATTTTTCCCCCAGGGTGTCCTTGACTAGTTGGGACACCATGGTTTCTTTGTAAGCCAAATGAATAAATAAATAAATAAAAAAATATAAGATATAAAATGTCATTTCGTATCCTTGTGAAAAAATCTCGGGTGGCACAAATAAACGAAGCCCATGGAACATTTGCCATGGAACCATAGAGTAAAACTACGCAACATTATGTTGTATAATTGTAGTAGAATATATCATGTTTTTGTAACAATGTTGTCTTCTTCTTGTGCTCAAAGGTTGAACAAAGATGGCGTCATGTTGGTCAAAGTGAAGCGTGACGTCACCCTGTGTGGAAAGTACACCGCATCAACATGTAAAGAAGACGGCTGCGCACATTTCCACCTGTGTCGTCAGTACGCGTCTGGACAGGGCTGTTCTAACGGGCTCAGCTGCCGGTATTCCCACAACCTGAAAGATGACCATAACATTGTTGTGTTACAGGTATGTTGTGCGATTTTACATGGCAGGGAACTCATGGGCATGGTGTATATACGTGTGCTTTGGTGTATACATGTACTTGTGTACGTGCCGAATGATTATGCAGATTCATGTAAATTTTGTTACCTCAGACATGTCATATTTTATCATAAAGTTGAATACAATATTCATGCTTTGTATGAATTCTGCATATTTTCATCGCTACTTCGGGATCCTCTCCGAAGTCACTCCGGAGCATTTATCGCTCCGGAGTCACTCCAGAGCAATTATGTCTCCTGAGTCACTCCGGAGCGATTAACACCCCTGAGTCACTCCGGAGCAATTATCACTACAAAGTCTTTCAGGAGCAATTATCACTCCAAAGTCACTCCGGAGCAATTATCACTCCAAAATCACTCCGGAGCAATTATCACTCCAAAGTCACTCCGGAGCAATTATCACTCCAAAATCACTCCGGAGCAATTATCACTCCAAAGTCACTCCGGAGCAATTATCACTCCAAAGTCACTCAGGAGCAATTATCACTCCAAAGTCACTCCGGAGCAACTATCACTACAAAGTCACTCCGGAGAAATTATCACTACAAAGTCACTCCGGAGCAATTATCACCCCAAAGTCACTCCGGAGAAATTATCACTCCAAAATCACTCCAGAGCAATTATCACTCCAAAGTCACTCCGGAGCAATTATCACTCCAAAATCACTCCGGAGCAATTATCACTCCAAAATCACTCCGGAGCAATTATCACTCCAAAGTCACTCCGCAGCAATTATCACACCAAAGTCATTCCGGAGTAATTATCACTCCAAAATCACTCCGGAGTAATTATCACTCCAAAGTCACTCCGGAGCAATTATCACTCCAAAATCACTCCGGAGCAATTATCACTCCAAAATCACTCCGGAGCAATCATCACTCCAAAATCACTCCGGAGCAATTATCACTCCAAAGTCACTCCGCAGCAATTATCACTCCAAAGTCACTCAGGGGCAATTATCACTCCAAAGTCACTCCGCAGCAATGATCACTCCAAAATCACTCCGGAGCAATTATCACTCCAAAGTCACTCCGCAGCAATTATCACACCAAAGTCATTCCGGAGTAATTATCACTCCAAAATCACTCCGGAGTAATTATCACTCCAAAGTCACTCCGGAGCAATTATCACTCCAAAATCACTCCGGAGCAATTATCACTCCAAAATCACTCCGGAGCAATTATCACTCCAAAGTCACTCCGCAGCAATTATCACTCCAAAGTCACTCCGGAGCAATTATCACTCCAAAGTCACTCCGCAGCAATGATCACTCCAACATCACTCCGGAGCAATTATCACCCCAAAGTCACTCCGGAGCAATTATCACCCCAAAGTCACTCCGGAGCAATTATCACCCCAAAGTCACTCCGGAGCAATTATCACCCCAAAGTCACCCCGGAGCAATTATCACTCCAAAGTCACCCCGGAGCAACTATCACTACTGTAGTGATAATTGCTCCGGAGTGACTTTGTAGTGATAATTGCTCCGGAGAGACTTTGTAGTAAAAATCACTCCAAAGTCACTCCGGAGCAATTACTGCAGTCAGTCTAACTACAGAGGACTGGAGTCACTCAGGAGTCGTTGACTGTAGTACGCTCCAATTGTTAGATCTGGAGTCACTTCTAAGCAGTTTCTGTAGTTGACTCCAATGGTTAGCACATTTTTATTTTCATTTTTCGTGTTTTTGTTCGGCAGGAAAATTTCTTGGATGGCTTGGCAGAAGCGCAGGTTCTCTCTATGATCACCAAACCGGAGAAATCCAAAGGAAGCTCCAAACCTGCAAAGAAAGCCAAGAAGGATGAGGGGACACCTCCTACGGAAGTCCCTCCATCGACGACGTCCAAAGGAGGCTCCAAACCTGCAAAGAAACCCAAAAAGGATGAGGGGACAACTCCTACGGAGGTTCCTCCACCGATGGCTTCGAAAGGAGGCTCCAAACCTGCGAAGAAACCAAAGAAAATGAAGGATGAAGGGACACCTCCTACAGACGTCCCTCAGCCAATGACGCGACAAGAAGAGTTAAAACGTCTGCCGCGAGTTTGCCACTTTTACACCACCGAAGGCAAGTCCTGCAAAAACGGTCCAGCATGCACTGCGGGCCTCCACGTCTGCACGTTCTACCTGACCGGCAGTTGCAGCCGCAAACCGTGCCAACTGTCGCACAACCTCTTCGACCCTCAACCGAGAGACTTGCTCAAGAAGAGCGGGCTCCTGGGTAAGCCAGGAAAGTACATCGTCGGCCTGTACAAAGAGAAATTCGAGGCTAAGATTCAGAAGAAGGAAAAGCAAGAAAAGAAGGACCAGCAAGCCCCACCGACCGAGGACTCGAGCAAGAGTGATCCCGGGTAAGTAATAGAGACAGAGGACGCCACAGACTATAACTGACACATTCGATCCCCTGCTCATTAAGTCGCGTTCTGTAATCTGCAATGACGCTGAGAGACGCCAGAGAATCAGTAGATTCATTCCAAAAGCGGTGCTGTAAACTCCGCATTATAGGTTATTTACATTATTTGGGCTGGAAAGTGCGGTCAAAAATCCATTTTCACACTTGCTGTCACATCAATGTTTTCGTACTGAATAGCTACATTATGATTAATATTCCCGATAAATTCGTTAACACTTTTGCTGCCATGTAAAACCAAAAATCTTTATGTTTCGATATCTTTAGAATGCCTGAACCCAAACCTTCAACCGAGTCGACGCACGATGACGTCACGTCAATGCCGGAACACTGGGAACCAATGGGAAGTCCCGAGGTATCTGATTGGCCATCCAATCATGTGTATCGTTACATGTTCTGCTTTGATAGAAATGATGTGTACTTGAATACCAAATATAAAAGTCTCTTTCCCTGATTCTTTTTAATAATAATATAAGCTCACAGTTTGTATGTACAAATGTAGTAGCATTATAGTATTGAGACGATAGCCTTATCAAATTTACTAAGTTGATGTGCATGCGTATACGCTGTACAGATAAATCTATATTTCTAATGAACTTAGACAAACCTTCTATATTGAAACATGTCCTATTCTTACCTTTTTAACATTACTAAGGAACGAGAAGAAACCGAATTTACTTCATTGTAGCTACTTGTCGATGTATATATGTAACATATCTGTAGTTCCATTCTTTTGTTGTGACCAGTACTCAACCCAGTGGGTATGTATTATGCAGCAAGTTTAAACTGTAATTTCCAACACAAGAAATTGGACTCACCCAAAATGTTCGACTGTACAACTCCAGTCTTTGTCAAGGAATGAAGAATCCACCGCTTCCGTGACGTCACGCAGATAACACACGTGACTCCGTGAGCAGTGGATCATAGGTTGCAGAAAGTCTGTGGCGCCCCCCGTCTCTGTTGAGGGATGGTTGTAATGCCCTGATGTAGATAGCCTCTTTAATCCCTCGTTGAAAGACATCCAGTGGGTATGTGTGTACAATAAAGTTTTCATGCATTCAATGTTCACCTAGGGTGGTTTTATGCCGCTAGAAAACGGCTTTGTACTAGCGGAGATTCCCCCAACTGGAAAGGAGATGAGCGACATTATGTCCGCCTTCTACCAGACACTGCACAGCTCCAAGGTTCACTCCATCAAACGAGTGCAGAACTTCTATCTGTGGGACATGTACTGCAAGTAAGTGTTTATTCATTTATTTTGATGGCCGATGTCAAGATCCATAACGAATTCTAGCTAACATTGTATAATGTTATATGGTTATTAATGTATATGCGCAATTTACTAGCATATGATAATTCAGGCTAGCATTTTAGAGGAATATTGCTATAGAAGGTTATTGATGTTAAATGTGTATAATTTACTTTTATGACGTTTATTATATTACTATAATCATTATTAGGTGGCAAATGTTAGTAAGATGTTTTTTTTAATGTAGTGAATGCAAATAGTAGTTACAGTGTATGTATTTCATGTACAGGAAGAGTAGTGGTTAATTGGCGATTCGAATCCTTGATACACAAACAAACAAACAAACAAAGAAATAAACAAACGTAAAGCATACATACTTGTACGCTATGGAACGATTACACTGTTGTCCAACTCAAAACATTGAACTTAACGGAATTTTCGACTGAATGACTCATTCCTTTTAGCTATATCAACCCCCGTACCAACTCTTAAAGATTTCTACAGACTGCTACTATTTTGTAGATCGGTGAATTGATGTTGGTTTAATTGTTGTACAGGAGAAAGAATCAGATGAAAAGGCAGAACAACAGCCAGTTCCCGCTGGAACTCCGTCTCTTCCACGGCACTAACCAGGAGGCAGTCTCCCCCATCTGCCGTCAGAACTTCGACTGGAGGTTGAGCGGGCACAACGTCGGCCAGCTCTTCGGGCAGGGGAGCTACTTTACCGCCAATGCCAGCTACGCGAGCGCGTACTCCCAGCCTAGCTATCCTACTGGCCACCGGTATATGTTCTTTGCTAAAGTCCTTGTGGGGAGGTATGCAAAGGGAGAGAGTTCTTACCGTCGACCTCCACCCTTGAATGAGTATGATCCGTACGGACTCAGCTACGATAGCTGTGTCGATGATGAGAACAGTCCTAACGTTTTTGTTGTGTTCGAGTCGACCCAGTGCTATCCAGAGTATCTCATTGAATATTCATACTAGTACTGAGCTATGAGGAAACTTAGCTAACGTTGCTGAAATGAGTGACTTGTTTATTCAACTTGTGTTGCAAGAATTAAAAAGCATCAGTCAAGATCATACTCGAAGCTAATCAAGTAACCTGACATCGTTTAGTTAAAACATAAAGTTGAAGGCTTAGTCCCTAACGTTAACAAAGAAAGGGCAATATAATATGTCTATTGCAAACTGCTGCCTGAAGGCTAATCGCGGCAAATACTAGTAATTGTCTTGAACTATTTCTGAAGCTTCCCTTATGTCCCTGTTGAAGGTTCAGTTTCTGAAGTCATGTATTCAAGAATCGAATACTTAAGTTTATTGCTAGCCCATACTGGAATATTCAGTAATGCAATAAACATGCTAATATCAGAGTATAGTATGAATGGTTTTAAATCATGTGTTTCTTGGATTTATATTGAAGTTATGGAATATTAAAGACATATCGAGCCTCAAGCTAATTTAAAGTACGCTTAAGGTTAAGTGCTGTCAAAGACATGGCTTTCCAAGATGGTTGCACCATTGTTGGTGGGTAAATAGAACAGGTATTGCCTTTCCGCCAATACTTCTGTTTACACTCTACAAGAAGAGGTTGGATTTCGGCTTGCATTTACACGTACGCCTGTACAGAGAACGCAACTTCAACAAAGTGAAAGACAGTTTACTAACCCCAAACACGCAACAAAAGACGTAAAAAAATGAGGGGGGATCCAATTTCTGTTCGGGAAGCAAAATAAATGCCGTCGGTCAACAGCCATGCGCACTCTACTAACCCCCTACGTCATTTGTTGACGGAAAATTTGGCAAACATACTGTTGTGTTGAGTGTTTGCTAAAAGCTCAGCACATATGTGAAAGGGAGAGAGCGTTTTTGGGACTTGTAGTTAGGTTCCAAGCATGTCTGGACGTCCGACCAGCTCTAGAGGTGGTCGGGGGTCAGGACGAGGAAACCGCGGGAGAGGTAGGGGGAGAGGTCCCCGGGGTGGTGGCCAGGGTTGGCGCACCCCCGGCGGCACAAGTGCAGGGGCTGAAGGCGAAGCAACTACAAGTCCTCATTTTACAACGGATCAACTTGTTGCCGTGGTAAAAGCTTTGTCTACTTCTCTTCTTTCACAAGAAGGCGAAGACCAGTACGAAAATGACGACGAAGAAGAAGATACTGGGAACAGAGGGAAACGGTCCTACCAGGAGAAAATAAGCGCAAGGGAAGGCAGGGCAATCCGAGAACTGGTCTCCATTCTGTTTGACAAACCTGGTGAGATATCGATCGTCAAACTGCAACAGAAGGCCAGGGAAATCTCTCAGCGTCAAGAGTACCAGGATCCAGGGAAGCTGGCTAGTTTCCTGCAAAAGCACGACTTGTTTGAGACAAGGTAGGGTGCGAAATTAGTAATCAAAGTCAAAATATGGCATGCTCTATACCATGGAGGTACTTAACTCTTGTATACCTCCATGCTTGCTTGAACATACGTGCATTACACCTGTTATTGTTGGGTCATGCAGAAAATTACTAGTACAGGTAGAGGTATATTATCAGCAAATAAAAAGCCAGTTCTCGTGAGCAATTGAGATATTTTATAAAAGCGATAAATTTTATTTTCATCCAGAGATAGTACAGAATAAACTCGTACCGGCAACCTGAAAGTGAAGTCATGCATCACATATTTATGTGAAATTCGACTCCACGTATTTCATCATTTTACTACCCTCCCCCCACCACACCAGTACGTTTGCACTCGTCAATACATTATTGCCACACCCTCAAGTACTCTTTGTTTAGAGCAAGTACAGTGTATAATGTCCTTGTTTAGAACAAATGCCACTGAAAAATTCATTACTCCCATAAAAACTATATTGTCATGGAATTTCTTATATTATACCGTGGTAACAAACGTGGTAACATAATTTATACACAACTGTTTTCATGTAACGTTACAGGTTGAACAAAGATGGCGTCATGCTTGTCAAAGTCAAGCGTGACGTCACCCTGTGTGGAAAGTACACCGCATCAACATGTAAAGAAGACGGCTGCACACATTTCCACTTGTGTCGTCATTACGCCACTGGACAGGGCTGTTCTAACGGGCTCAGCTGCCGGTATTCCCACAACCTGAAAGATGACCATAATATCGTTGTGTTACAGGTATTTCTAAGTACAATTTTCTATCTATAGTACTCTCTGTGTGTGTGCGTGTGTGTGCGGTGGTTGAGACCCATGCAATGCATGTCAGTATCATTATATCTTATTGCATGCATGTTAAATTGTATCAATAATGCCTGCTTACAATGTTGACATATGTATGTTTATTATATTTGCATGTCTTATTACTAGTATTGTGCCTTTCATACTATGCATGTTGATTTTATCATTGAATGTACTGAGCTTGTTCGTGTATATAAATGCCATGTTCTCTTTTATATGTAATGTTTCATGAGTACATTTTGATATCTCATTGTCAGGATAATTTCTTGGATGGCTTAGCGGAAGCGCAGGTTCTCTCTATGATCACCGGAAAGTCTACGGAGGCGTCTAAGGACAAGACAACCCCTCCGAAGCCCCGAAGACCCCCTTCGCCAAATCAGCGACGGTCAAGACCAGTGTCTCCTGTCAGTGAGCCGGCATCCCAACCTCGCCATCCTCCTAGAATGCCCGAACCTCTTGTTGGTTCTCATTCAGGCAACTATCGCCCCAAACGACCCTCTTCGCCCCATCATCGTCCTCCCGATGTCACAGAGCCATCGCAAAAACGACAGGAGGAGTTAGAGCGGCTGCCGCGCTGCTGCTACTTCTACAACTGCGCGGGAAAGTCCTGCAGGTATGGCCCAAAATGCACCGCGGGCCTCCACGTCTGCACGTTCTACCTGACCGGCAGTTGCAGCCGCAAACCGTGCCAACTGTCGCACAACCTCTTCGACCCTCAACCGAGAGACTTGCTCAAGAAGAGCGGGCTACTGGGTAAGCCAGGAAAGTACATCGTTGGCCTGTATAAAGAGAAATTCGAGGCTAGAAGGAAAGAAAAGCAAGAATCACACAGGTGGGTAAAGGCTGCTAGGATAACGTGTATCTTACAACACATACAGAAATCTTACAACACATACAAAAACTTTGATACAATATCAAATTTTATACAGTTTATGACACAAATCAGCTTACGTGGGGCAGTGGCAAACAATTTCAAAACAATCTTTCACTTTGGTAACGATATGGTGAATAACAATGCTTGATTCTTTCCCCGAATAAACTGGTATATGTACGTATATCTACGAATGATGCGGTATGTTTTGTCTGAGTAACCTAATACTAATCTTTTATTTAGGTGGCCTTATGATTCCTCTTCATGGTCCTACGAGACCGATGAAATGCCTACTATATTTAGGTGGCCTTCAGCTGATGACGTCACAACCGTGCCTGAACATTGGGAACCAATGGGAAGAGCGGAGGTATGACAGGACCACTGTGGTTGGTCATCCGACGATTTGAATAGCTAAAACTGGCACACTCACAGATTACTTGTCGCTTTGGCGGAGTTTTATACTGCAGCAATTACATTACATAAACCAACGCACCTTTAAAATGTATTTCTTTAGGACGACTTCGTACTTGTGGAAGTTTCCCCCGTTCTGAGAGGAGACGAGATCAATGGCGTTAAGGCGCGCTTCCACCAAACCCTGCCATCCAAAGACACGAAGATCCACAGCGTCAAACGCGTACAGAACTATTACCTGTGGGATCTGTACTGCAAGTAAGCATTGACGTACTGTACTTATCTTCTGTCTTAGATTTAGTTAGAGTTAAACAAGTGAGCTTCAATGAAATGACGTTCTGTGACGCATTCAACTGACCCTGTGTTTCTTTTTCTTTTTTTTGCAGGAAAGAGAATCAAATGAAAAAGCAGAACAATGACGAGTACCCGAAGGAACTCCGTCTCTTCCACGGCACTAACCAGGACGCAGTGTCCGCCATCTGCCGTCAGAACTTCGACTGGCGCCTCAGCGGTTGTAACGTCGGCCGGCTTCATGGCCGAGGAAGCTACTTCACCAAGCATGCAAGTTTCGCGAGCGCGTATGCGCAACCTAGTCAGAGTGGTCACCGGTTCATGTTTCTCGCGAAGGTGCTTGTTGGGCGTTATACAAAGGGCGATAGGTCCTATCGTAGACCTCCGCCCTTGAATGAGTCTGATCCATACGGGAAAAGCTACGATAGCTGTGTCGACCGTCGTAAAAATTCCTGAAATTTTTGTTCTTTTTGAGTCGAGCCAATGCTACCCAGAATATCTGATAGAATACTCATAGTATAATCAGACAAACAAGCTGTGATACAAAGATATTTTACATGTATGATGAAATGCATGACAACAAGCTTTATTCTTGATTATACTTAGAGTCGATTCCGCGTCACCGAGTGGGTTTTTTCTCCATGTTTCTAATACGTTTGAATTATTTAGAAGAAAAGAATACCCTAGTAACAAAAGTTCTAAATTTTTCAAAAATTTGAAAATGAAAATTTGAATATATTTAAATTCATTTATATTTTTCTGAAACATTTTGAAAGAGACTGTACAAAGATCTCTTTATTTAGAATAAATTTGAACAACCCATTTGTTTCTTTCACTATTCGAAATATTTAGAACTATTTCAAACAAATGAAAAATGGTAGATGTGGGTAATTGCCCCCATAAAAGTAGGTGCTAATCCTACTCTTCTGTCTTCTTCTGTGTATTTTTAGGTTTCACTGCTGGACACTGGTGGCTCTTTTGTTGTAAGGCATCAATGCCTGACACCCAGGCAGTCTACCCTGTACTTCACAGGGATGTGTGAATTACTTCCTTCCCATCCCACTGACCTATTTACAAAATGTTAGAAATAATTCGAAATAATGGTAAAAAATGGTAGAGTGCTGTTAGAAATATTTCGAAACTATTGGAAATGTCATATTCCACATCAGGAATATTTCAAACGTTTTAGAAAACCAGGGAATTATTTAGAATATTGACAAGATGTTCAAAATATTTACAAATTATGAAATTTCTTAGACAAACAATTACAAAGAATTCAAAACATTTCTAAATAATGACAATAACAACCCACTCGGTGACGCGGAATGGACTCTAGCATCATTTAATGACATACACTTGGAATTGCATCAAAGTGAAAAAGCAAAAAGCAACGACTAATGAAGTTTATTGCTAGTTCGCGTGAGAGCACTAAATAAATTAAACGTGCTGATAATAAGAATTAGATAAAGTATACTAGTAAATAGTTTTAAATGAAATCAACATCTTGGATTTGCAGTTTTCTCTGTTGAAGTCGTGAAATTCGTGACTATGTCAAAGGAAAATAACTATACCCAGAAAAGAGACATCTATTATACTGGAATATTCAATGCACTGAAACAGAATATAGTATGAATAGTTTTAGATAATGTGTTTCTTGGATTTTTATTGAAATTTCAAAGTCATGGAATATGTATGAGCTTGAATTTGCCTTTTTTCATCCATGAATATGTCAAAGGAAAGTAAGTATACACTAAAAAAGAAGCATCTATAATTTGTTACTGTTGGTGCTGTTACATTAATAAATGATACGAGGTCAATTGTACTTTTTTCTGTAGCAATTTGCTTCATTTCTAAGCTTGTTAAGGAAGGAAGCAAAAGATAAACAGTCATCACCTGTTTGTGTTACCTTCTTGACCCTCTTGTGTGTGTGTGTGTGTGTGTGTGTGTGTGTGTGTGTGTGTGTGTGTGTGTGTGTGTGTGTGTGTGTGTGTGTGTGTGTGTGTGTGTGTGTGTCTGTCCGTGATTCCGCACACACTGGTCAGCATATCTCAGGAACCTATGGCTGGATTGCGTAGGGTGAATGGATGAATTAATTGATGCAAGGTTTATTTAACAAAACTTTCATGATTTCGTGGATAATGATGATATTTGGCATATGGATGGGTAGGTCTTGATGAGCATGTGTCCATTGTCAGCATTTGGAAAGCATGTGTTATGTTAGACAACAACCATCACTCTCGTCGCCGGGATGTCTTTTTGACACCTGTTTCTATCATTATGTCTACCGTAAACAAGCCGAACCGTACATCTGCTTGGAGGCTTCGACATACCCACAATGCAGTGTACGTCACGTGACCTGGTGACGTCGCCGCTGGGTTTTTACCGCCCGCCATATCTACAGTTTGGTGACGTTCTTTCTTTTGGCTCATTTGTACAAATTTTTAGCTTCAAACTCGACATTTAGGACACATTTAGGTACCACAATGGCCACAGGTGCCAATGCTACTCCTCTAGGACGGCTTCACCCTCTTCTAGCGAGTGGTGGAACCAAGCGAATCGGCGGACGAAGAGGGTGAGTAAAAATGTTTCCTCCGTTGTTTTCTCTGAGGAAAAAGTCGTCTGATTTGGGGGTCATTACGTTTGTACGGCTTCTCACTTCGTAACGATGCGATAATTAGGGTGGAAATAACCGTTTCTGGGTCATATTTGAGTAGAAATATATTCTGACGGTGTTTGTTGATGTAAAGATTAGGCACAACGTTGTATGAAAATGAACTAGTGGAAAATAGATTTGCCCTCGTGCATATGCTGGAACCATTTTACTAGCTGGTACTCGGCCCTCTGGAATAAATTATTTGGTTCACTTTCATGACTTAATTCATTGCACACATCGATCTAGAAATTATTTTTGGTCTAAATACATGATATGTGTAAACCATAAATTGTAACCTCCACGTTTGCCGCATTTTTGTTAGAATATTTTGAGATTCAGATGTGTAAATTATATTTTACAAAACAGGTAAGGTTGATCTCACCACTCTCTGTTGAGTCTGTTCCAAACGTGCAAAAAAAATGTACTTTTGTACTTTTGTACAATGAAATGTAATGTGATTATGTTGTGCAGTATATGCAGTTCCTAAATTGTTGGGTACATTTCAGTTTGGACTTAGAGTCTTGGACTTACCTTAATTTAAGAATTTAAACTTAATGATCAGATGGTTCAACCCCCGATCAAGCACAGTTTCCAAGAAACCTTATTTCACTGTATGGGGTAAGGTTTGTGCCCTAGCTGGAAGAAAATATTTTACACTAACTATAATGCTAGGAGGAATACATGGATTGATGGAAAAATGCATGATACTGATAGTGATAGACACAGATGCACCCAATTCAAGATTGCCATTTTTAGAATAAGAAAGAGGAAATCCTATCCTGATAGGATAGTTCTTCAGCTCAAATAATTTGGGCATGTGTGGTGGCTTCTTGTGGCTTGTCATTTTTGTTGGGATTTTAGAATTTGATCTTTATCCATACATGTGAATGCTGACCAGTAAAAATCAACTGAATTTGTATTCTTTGCCTGTTAATGTGACTATAGTACTACAGTTGAAATTGAAATGCCAGGCCATCTTCATCAAGTGATTCTTCTTTCTCTGAGCAATATGTTGGAATGCAGTTAGAATTGGAAAAATATGGATTCATTAAAAAATCTCGGAGGGAAAGAGAATTGATCAAATGTAATAATGGCAGCCGTATCCTGAAGCCGGATTGTTGAGTGTAGGGATTTTGGACGTCATATCTGTCATAATATGATATGCAGCTGTTATAGCATTTGATTTGTTCGGAACAACAAATTTTGTGCTTTGCCTAGATCTTAGCCTGACAGAAGACAAAAAAAAAATTCTTACTGTTCATTTTCTATTCATTGTGACTCCGATGAAAATTGTAGAAGTTGTTACACATGCCCATACTCTCCCAGTGATTACATTATTACACATGACATTACATACATATGTAATCTGCTGTGTTGTCCCGTTGCTGAATTCGAAGGTTCTGGTGGAAATTGGAATGATAGGGAAGGCAGGTCAAAGAAGCGGCGTAGTCGCTGGCAACAAGACGTCGACAAAAAGACCATCATCCCTGGAATGCCAACTGTCATTCCTCCAAATCTCCCCAAAGACCAAGAAAGACAGTATCTAGGTAAGACATGTCTTCCTCTTCCGCACTTGCATCTTTTCACTATCGCATGCCTAATATTAAGCACTTCAATAAAAAATCTTCTTCTTCCCCCAAATTTCATGATTGGTTGTTATTGATTATCAATAGATTATTATATATTGTGCTGTACACTGAATGTACCACCTTCAGTCTTACCCTAGTAGGTTTTTCCTATATAGGGTTCGGTTTGCACATTCAAGTTGTTACCATATTGCTTCACAGTGTGTCTTTCTGAAGTGAGCTAGCTCTAGTTTTTTTTTCAGTTTATGTGTGTACACCCTTTTTCTGTCAGTAATTGAATACTAAATATTCCTTAAAATGACACCTCTCTAGAATATATGATATGATTGGTCTTTAATCTTGTGTGAAGAAATTTGATTATAACCATTGCTAATTTGATTAACTCAAAGAATTAGACTTCAATTTCTTATCGAGAGCTTCTTGCAATCTTGTTACTAATGCGGTTATGGCTGATTTTTTTTTACCACTTCGGCAAGAACAGCTTTGTCTAACAGAAACATGTAGAATAGATCTAGAAATCTATACGATTTCACATGTATGAGCTAGATATAAGGTAAAGACAAGCATACATTTTAATGTGTTGGTTTGAAAATTTGGTAACTATAGTAGAAGCTTAGTCTTTAGTTAGAGCCAAGAAATATCCACTTATCTTGTACAGAGAACGTCACAGTGTAATACTATTATAATCATCAATGAAACTCCACTGAAAAAACATAATGAGAATATCTGCACTGACAAACTATTTGGAGTTATGTTTCTAATAATAATTGTTGCCATTATTTCTACTTGATGTTCTTGTGTGATGTGCTTACTGGTTTTATAATATGTTCCTCCTGTTCTCTCTTAACCTACTCTATTACAGTTCATCTGCAAATTGAGGAAATTTCCCGGCGCCTTCGCACAGGAGATCTGGGCATCCCTCCCAACCCCGAAGACAGGTTTGGAACAGGGCTTAACCAAGTGTCTTTTTCCTTTTGTATCTATTTACTCCTGTTTATTTTCCCTGCTAATGATTACTCTGTTGGCCAGGCAAGAAGTGGTCGAACGAACGAACGATCGTTCTGGAAGGCAGTAATCACGTTTAATTAAATATTGTGTCACCGTGCCTTCCATGCAGGGGTGAGGCATCCAACAAGCAGATATAATAATGTCTTTTTTCTTCAAAATCTTCCAAAATTTTCCAACATCGCTAGTATGCTGAAGGAGTTTTTAACGAAAAAATGTGATTGTTAATTAAAAGCCTTTGCAACATAATTCAAAGCCTCAAAAGTGTAACTTGTTTCCTATAAAAAGGAAGTTCATTTCTACCCAAAATTATAGGATAAATTTGAAATATGCGAGAATGTGTAATTCGACAATTATTACAGTTGTATTTGGAAATATTTCAGGATGGAAACTGTACTTTTCACAACCAAAAGTCCACCGTTGTTGGACATGTCTTGTTGGATGCCTCGTGTATATAATGAATGATTGCTACATACTCTATTACAGTGCGGGCCTGAAAGCTTTGTGCTAGTAGCTAACAATTACAAGGTTCTCTTCCACCACGTGTAGACTGTGTGGATTGAAGTGCATCCACCCACGAAGATTGAAGTTTAGCCATGCCACATAATTTTTATGACCGACCTATTCTTATTATTACCCCCGTCACTGGTGCTTTTATGTTCAGGCAGGGCCTTTTATGATTGGTCCAGCATGGCAGTAACCACATTATTTCACAGGGTGCCATCTTGGCCGCTCGCAAATTTCATAATCCTTCATCCCCAAACAGGTGCTCAAACCACTTTGTTTCCCAGGACAGATCCTCTTCGGGCTGTGCCAAACAACCTCTCCAACTCCCCCGTATTTCAAAATGGATAGCTCCGAAATCAGACAGCATTGAAGGAAACTTTGGGCTGCACCATTTCTAAAGAGGGGATTGTTACAGTCATTTGCTGACAAGACAAAAAAAATGTCCCGAAATTCTATGAAAACATGCATTGAAGATACTCTGAAAAGTGTTGTTTTTCATTGTCAGTGATATTGATGGAAAATGCTTTCATTCTCACAATTTTTTGTCCACATTGGTCATGAAACAGCTTTGTCCCAAATATGTTTGTTTATTCATTCATTCATTGGAGAAAAAAGCTTTCTATATGAGCTGTACAGATTCGTGACATTTCCTGCTAGTGATGCATTCATGACTCTCTCATAGTGAATTAAGCTCTGTGGCTCGCTTTGAAAATTCTTTTATGTTGACCAAAAGCATGTGTGCAGTGTTTGTTTTTTTTGGAAGTACCATTCTTACGCGGCCTGATTGACGTTTTAACGGTTGAATGCACATAATCTTTTCCCCATGTTTCTCTAACTCAGTGGTCTTTCGTACAGCGGTATGACGGGACAGGAATATTCAAGACAGAGGTCATTCCATTTTAAATAAGCATTTCTATATCACTGGTCAGACTAACATGTGCCTTACTACTAGACCTCTTGCCAATGTCTTCTAGACTTTTTGGAAAGAAACAAGCTTTTTTTACAGCAAATAGGCCCTTTAACATGTTACCTCAACTTTCAAGTGTGTCCCTTTTTATTTATAATTTCTCGATGAAAAAAAAGGCCTTGGGTGGAGTAAATTTTTCCCATTTTTTTGTTTTTGCATGTTGTTAAGATCACTTTCAAATGGCAGCAATATAGTTTCACTTATAAGAAGAATTTACAGTTTTTGCTGGTTATGATTTTTCATAGTAATCTAGGGCTTCAAAATTGCAGTGAAAATGTACAATATGTTAAGGTAAAAGGGTGGATGTGTGTGTGTATAGACTAAGGGTGGCAAACAGTTTTGTACCATGACCGAGTAAAATGCCCCATTGGATTGTTACACAACTTCTTTGGAAAAAGTTCTGTTTAGACGTCATTCCACAGATTTCATCAAACTGATCAACATGCCTTTATATACTGGTACTAAGACACCCATTGAAAGAGCTTTGACTTTTGAAATTAAGGCAGAAGTCATACAACTTCATTCAGACTTTTCATAATTTGTTTTTACAAGACTAACCTTGTATTCTATACCTTTAAAACTATGAAAGTCTACAAGAAGAAAAGATGTGCATGTATCTTCTATTTCGCTTAAGTTTTCGCTAAGTTGTACGATCAAATGAAATATTTGAAGACAAATGTAAAGAATATTTCCTTAATTCATCACAAAAGAGTGTATTTCAAGTGTTATTTTGCAGAAATTTGTCACAAAAGACTGTATTTCGAGTGTTACAGAAATTACTGGTATATTGTTTGCCACCCTTTGCCACACATTGTTGTAGGATGATGACAAACATTATGACTTGTGCACCTAACAGGTCGCCGTCTCCCGAGCCTATCTACAACAGTGAGGGAAAGCGACTGAACACCCGCGAATATCGCACACGGAAGAAACTGGAGGAGCAGCGCCACAACCTCATACAAGAGGCGCTGCGACTCAACACGGACTTCAAGCCTCCTGCCGACTACAAGTATGTTTCCAAGCTTTTTAGAATACTTGCACAGGCCTCGAAATTACCAAGGTTTCTTTCTATTGTCCCAGCACTGTCCCAAAAATAAATTTCAATTGTCCCGAAGTGAGGATGACCTGTCCCAACCTGCTTTTTTGCAAAGTATTGTATGACTTCAACTTGAAGTCAACTTTATTTTGCTTATGTTCACTCTCAGGCGCATTATAAATATAATTGCAGTGTAGACAGAAAATTCAGGGGGATTTTTTTTAATTCAAAAGCCAGGACGTGTGCCTGATTAGGAAAAGAAGGGCTGACATTCTGATGTTGTTTATTTTTCCATTGTCCCAAAAATGTCCCAAGGTGTCTTTTTAGTTGTCCCAGCCTAAATTTTAGTGGTCAGTGGCCATTGGACCACCTTTAATTTCGAGCCCTGTTGTAGTATCATAGACTTGATAAGTACTTTTTGACATTATAATTAGGATCTTTACCTGCAACTGCTCTAGATCTCATGTGTAATGTAATCATGTATGTACATGCCTACTATGTTTTTTTATGCGTAATCTAGGAAAAGTGGATATCTAATAAAACATCATCAGATATCATCAATAAAAACGTGATGAAAATCTGCATTCATCTCAAATGATATCTATGTCAAGGGTATACACATTGACTAGTTTTCACAAAGAAAATTTATGTGTTTCTGAAAAAGATTGGCAGCTGTTCAGTACACCATTCATCTCTTCTTTCTCTCCAGGCCTCCGGTGACCAGAGTGAGTGATCGAGTAATGATCCCACAGGAAGAACATCCAGACATCAACTTTGTCGGCTTGCTGATTGGCCCACGGTATCTCCCCTTTCCTTCTTTTTGTTGTAAATTATTATAATGATGTAAAAAGTCAAGTTTGTTGTGAACATTCACTTACAGCACAGTAATGTATAAGTAATGTCTAAGTAAGTAATGTATAGGCACTGTACAATTTTAGAGACTACACATTAGGAAGTCTAGTACTGTTACCAGTTTATTTTTGCATTGTACAAGTTCATACTTTAAACTTTGTGTGTGTATCATTTCAGTGGAAACACTTTGAAGAAGATAGAGAAAGATGTGAGTACCTTCAACTCTTTTCTACTTTTTGAATGAGATCTTGTTCACGACACAGCTTCTACATGTATAAGGGTATTTGTTAATAAGACTGATCCGTACATTCAAACTGGTACTTCAGTGAGTTTTGAAAATAAAAACAGATTTTAAAAGTTTTTATTCTTTTTTATGCTGTATACTACAGTGAGATATTTGTCATAGATAAGCTAACTTTTTGTGAAAATTGTTGTATGTAATTTGACCTCTGACATGCTAAGGGCACTAAATTTGCATGGTTAGGCCTAGGAAAAAAAATGTTGTGTTTCCGGTTACCCGACCGACCCTATGAAAAACCCCCCGACCCTAGCCTTTTTTGGGCCGACCAAAAATTTCGAGCGGCTAGCGGTCGGTTTCGCCGCAGAGCGAGAGAGCCCGGGCTTTGTGTACATTCGTATACAAGAAAACTAGCCAACAATTTGTAGCCAAAAATACGATATCAAAATGAAAGCTGTGCGGCATCGGTATGAAAATATCGACTTTCGAACTTCTCAAACACGATTTTTGCGGTAATTAAAAAAGTTTTAACGCTTTATATTTTTCTTAAAATTCATAAGTTTGCCGTTTTTATGGTACCAGATTCGCATATATCCGAGTGATCATAACGCGCGGAATGGGGGGCTACTTTTACCATACTGAGTTTTCGAATATGGCGCCGGCGGGTTGTCATGTATTTGCGGCGTGAGCGCTGCGTCGGCCCGAGGCCGAGCGGGGGGTGAGCGGCCGCCAGTATACACCAAACAGTTCAGGTAAGAAATTATTTCTGCCTTCTATGTAGTTTTTAGTTGGTTTACATGGATTTTTAAGGAGATAATACCGCCTGAAACTCGATGCAAACTGCAGCACATGTTTACCTCGTTCATGATGTTTTGCCTAGACATGTCCGCTGGCTTTCAAAAATATTATTATAGTCGTCGCAAAAATATAATTGGCTGACGGAACTGAGGTGAATAATTGTTGTCAATGCCATTTAGCCATTTTACCGTTGTGATTTTTGCTCGTTTTGGCGAGTTCATGTACCTAGCTACAGCCTGAAACTGCAGCACATGTTTACCTCATTCTCTGATGTTTTGCCCGGACACGTCCGCTGGCTTTTAAATCGTCGCGTATATTTTTTTTTATTTGGCTGACGGAACTGAGCTGAATAATTGTTGTCAGCACCCATTTAGCCATTTTACCGTTGTGACTTTTGCTCGTTTTGGCGAGTTCATGTACCTACATATGTCTGTACTGCAGCGTCTATGGCATTTAATTTGTTAGGAGGGGGGAGGGGGGCGGCTGTTAAAGGCTTCACCATGCTTTGCAATATTTTCTTCACTGAATAACCGCTCAGAGAATATTTTATTTTTGTAAATGATTTATGAACCTTGCTAATGATTTTTTACCTTAAATAATTGATTAACTTTGCATATAATTTTTTAACCTTTATAAATATGATTTTTTTACCTCTCAGGTTAGCAATAGCAGGTTTCAGTTTTTTAAATATTATAATAGTATACATGTGTTTCCTGTTATATTTGATTTTTTTTATACAGTCAGCATGAATAGAGTCAACATTAATATTAAATGACATTATCTCCTTATCACAGGGTCAACGCTGCCGGACAACATACACGATACAGTATGACAGAGGCCTCGTCCTCCTCTGCCTCTGTATCGAGGGGAGTATGGATCCTGCATGTCACTAAATGCAGCCACCTGCAGTCTGAGAAGAAAACATTCAAAACACTGCCGGGAAACATGCCAATTTCAAGTGCAATTGACATTGTACATCCTCCTCCGGGGAGCATGGTGTGTGGAAGGGTGATGTGTGGGAGTGGGCAGAAGCCCACAGAATGGGTGGACGTTGAGGACACCGACGCGACATTGTCCCAACTAGAGGGATTTGGTTTCAACCATCTAAAAATTCAATGCACCGGAGATTCATGTGAGGAGGCTGGCCCAAGCACCATGAAGTCAAAGGGGGCAACAGTCAGTGCATTTGATGTACTTATGTCACCCGTGAAAGTTCCACCTCCAAAAAAAACAAGCAGGTACGTTTTAAACCAACTAAATTGTACACTAACTTTACTGTAGTTAAGTAGTCACAATTTGCAAAATGAAATTCTTCATAAAAATTGACAATATTCTAAGTTAAGTGTTATGTTTTGTCTCTTTCAGCTCTGGACAGAGTGAAGGCCTGAATCGCAAGGACGAACTGTTCAACGACCTGGTGTCTGATTTTACAGACAGGGGTTGTCTCTTTGCCAGGGACCAGGCAGGTAGTGAGGGATCGTATATTATTCAGGTACCTATCCATTGTCATTTTTTTTTAGATTTTTAAGACAATGTAAATACATGTTGATCTTACAATAGACTACGAAGTCAATTCCTTCTTGTGCTTTTGAAAAAGAACCCGAAACACTTTCAACAGATCAAGTTGAATTTATTATGGCTGTACCGATGCTGTAACTATTTACTGTAGCAGTTCTGACTGGATTTTCATATTCAATCCTACAGGTCCTTTGCAATAGCTTGTGGTATGTGACAAATCAGCATGTGGTGATAAATGATGCTGCCCTCAGGAAGAAAAGTGTGACAGCTGTACGAGTAGCATTCGACAAATACCAAGGGTACAATGACTACAAACGCAAGAAGATGAAGGCTCAACAGATGTCATCCACACAGCTCAATTCCCATGCCCAGGCACTCTACAGTTTGTGCAACCGCCCTGTGATGAAGTCAAGTGCAGCCTGGGTAGAAGTCCATAATGATATTGAGAAGTTAGCAGACTGCCTAAGTGCATACAGAGAGCACCTGGACGAGATGCTTGAGAGTCAAGCAAAGAGACATGAATCAGACCACCCAGTCAGAGAACTAGAGAACAACTGCAGTGTGGAACATCGAACAAGCAGCTCAGAGGTCAGAATGCAATACAGAGCTCTTGACAAGAGAATGCAAGAAGCGGAGTATCATGAACCAGTGTTGTTTGATGAAGATAAACACTTGGTAGCCCCTTTTGAGAACAGTGTGCAGCGCCACAGGTTCATCGCATCTTTGCAGCTTTCATGCCCAGTTGACCTTTATAGGTATGGCTCCAAATACTGCTGAGAGTACAATAAATCCAAGCTAAGCTTATGGACAGCTCTTTTGTGTTAAATCTATCAATTTAAACAGTTTATCCTTCTAATCCATGCTACTTTCTTTTGAAATAACTTGTGACAAAATGGGTCAAGAAAAATGCTTAAACAAAGCATTCTGTTTTAGATATGTTCCAGGAGGTTCTCTGGCAACAGTACTTCACGTTGTGAAGGTTGAAGAAACCAGGTCACAGTCAGAGCTGCTGACACAGGCTGCCAAGGTCATGGCAGCAATCAGGCCCAGTCTTCCCCAAATCCATACTCGCCAGATGTGCCGACAGTTCAAGCAGCAACTGTCCAACATTGCACACGTAGCTCCTTCTGTAGCTGACCTTATATACAAGGAGCTTGCAATGGATGAGTCAACAGCCACACATCCAGAGACTCAGCAGCGACTGAAGCTTATCTTTCTGGGAGAGAAGGGCCTGTTGACAGATCTAAGAGAAACAAACCCTGGGAGACCAGGTGAGGCTTTAGTAATTTTTTAAAACATGCATGTATGTACAGTCAAACTTGTACTAGTGTCTACTGGCTATGGTGGCCACTTTTTGATGGTCCCTTAATGTAAGGGACCATCAAAAAGGTCCCTTTAAGGCTTAAATGTTTCTCTATAATAAACACTCCCCCCTAATAGTGGCCATACTTGTTTGAGTGGCCATTTACATAGGCAAGTTTGACTGTATACACATGTACTTTTGTACGTTCATGCACATGTGTGGTTGATTTATTTTCTTGACTAGGTGGGGCGTATGATGTGTATTTTGAGGAGATGAAGGCTGTCGTGGACAAGGTAACTGCGGCTGATGACAGGCGCCATAATGTTGCCCACTTCTCCGAGTGGATATCACTTAAAGATCTCATGCAACAAACAGAGAAGCGATGTCCTGAAGGCACACCAATTCCATCATCTGCACTGGTTCGCCTTCAGTTCTCGCCAAGGAATCCGTACTTGAATACTGCGACAAGATTTACGTCCAGAATAGACGTGCAGTACAAGATACAGCGACGTCAGCTACGTGCATTCCATCCAGACGCCCACTATTGCGCATGCGTATTGAAGTATCTCAAGCAGCTTGCAGTCTTGCTGAGTGCTGTTGCTGTACTGTTCTTCTGTGACGACAAAGCCAAGGTGCCTGTTGGAGACCCTGACCTGCCTATCTCCACTGGGGTCCGTGGGAAGAAAACTCTGGCTCCATCCACAACCACCTTGAGCGCAGCTGACCATGACCTCCGACACAAAGCGAGTCTTACTCCATCTGTGTACCATCAGTGTGATATCCCTGAGGATCCAGACAAGTCTTTCTACCGAGGAACAGTGACTGTGGCAGTCAATGACTCAGTCTTCCAAGCCTCCAGTCCTTTCAGACATGCAGCAGCCATCTTGAAGATTCTGAGGCAGAAGGAGGAGAGACCCAAAGTGTTCCTAAAGTACTCTGATGGTGGGACAGATCAAAGAAACACTCTTGAGTCAGTGAAATGTGCTCACATTGCACTATTCAAAGTCATGAACTTTGACCTGCTGATCCTTGCAAGGTGTGCTCCGGGACAGAGCTATGTGAATCCTGCGGAACGTCTCATGTCGATCCTGAATATTGGACTACAGAACGTTGCCCTGGAAAGGAAACAGCTAAGTGATGAACTGGAGAAGCTTCTCACCCGTGCCGGTTTGTGCTGACTTTGCAACTTAGTTCCGGTTAAAAGTTCTGGTTTGGTTCTGGCAAGGAGGTTTTATCAGAGTCTGATAAAACAGAGTCTGATAAAACCTCCTTGGTTCTGGTTACTGGGCCCCATTAGAGGTACTAGATAAATAGTATTTACAATATAATAGAGGAAAATTACTGATTTTTTTTCAACTGTTACATGTTGCAGGCAGTATGGCTGAGGTAAGAAACCTGGCAAAGCAACACCCTGAGCTAGCTGAAGCATGGCAGTCCTCCATTGAGTCAGTGCAGGCTTTGGTGATGTCGCGTTTCAGCCGACTTTCCCTGAAAGGTGAACCATTCCAGGTAAGTAAACTTTTATGACTTTCTTTATTAATTATAGAGAGCAGTGAACAATCTTTAATATACGAAGACCTTACTTCTTGTAAAATTAGACAGTTGTGCTTGCTATTTGATACAAATGTACTTTTTCATTCTTCACACTGGCAGGTTATGGATCCTGTATCTGAGGATGGTGGACCCATGAAGGAACTGCTAGAGCAGCACAAGGCCCTGTTTCCAGACCTGGATGTCGGAAAACTACAGAAACAACACACGAAGAAGTCAGATGTATACAACGACTGGGTACAACAGCATTGCCGACAAACTCAGTACAGGTACTTCTAAATTTTATATTAAAATTAACATCTGCCACACATACATGTACAGTGTACTTATCTTGACTGTTTTGAAATACATTTACGCATATCATTTTTTACATTCTGTATGTCTTTGTAGTTTCCAGATTCGCAAATGTAGTGACCCGGAATGCTGTGAAGCTCCATCCCTGGACGAGGACCAGCTGCGGTGGCTGCCGGAGCCACAGTTGGATGCGAGTGGAGACCACTACATGGGGTTTGCAGACGTGTACAGGATGGACACCACTGAAGATGATCGACCCACCTTACTCCATGCGCAGAAGGGCAAAAGACCTGCATCATTTCTGTCGGTGGAGGATGATGTGGAGACACCGGTGGATGCTACAAAGTACTCTGCTCAGAACGGACGTGCTGTTGTAGAATGTGTTGATTGTAGGAAGCCCATGCTTATATATGCAACCAGGAAGTTAACAGATAGGCAGAAGACAAGCCTAGCTTGTCTCCACTCTGAATATGAATATTCCTGTGGCTGTTCAGCCACACCTCCACATCTCCTGTTGGCTGGTACAGTGTTTGTCCGTACAACTCTCACTTGTGAGAGCAGGATAGAAACTGCCTATTACGGCTCTGAATGTGGTAGGAATGATGTATGTTGTTACTGTGGTTTGTCAAACGCAGAGGTTGATGACAGCCTTAAACGACAGTATACAACTGTTCTGCCACTGTGTATGTCATGTGCAGACAAGGGTTACAGGGCAGTCTGCCTGCGACCTGTCCCGAGAGCCACTAAGAAGTGACTGGTTTAGGATAATTGTGCACACAGTGGGGCCATGACTATTGTATTTCTCAACTGGGTTATGGGTAGGAAAAGATATTTGATATGATTACGTTCAATTTTTTGAACGTGTCATAGATGATAGAAAAATTAATGATGTTTCAGTTAAGCAGATTTACAATGTACATGTACCTCACTTGTTACAGCAGGATCTAAACTGTCTATTTACGGCTCT